GGATTTATTAAAATTTTCAAATATAATTGAATTCTTGAGAAGAATTTTATTATTTATGTAAATAATTGAATTATTACGAAAATTTTCATTAAAATGTTTAAAAAGAATTGAATTTCCGTGACAAATTTTGTTATTTTTGAAAATAATTGAATTCTTTATAAGAATTTTATAAACATTGTTTTAAATAATTAATTTTTTCGAAATATAATAAATATTATGAAAATTTTATTTTAAATAATTTGAATTCTTGTGTAAAACTTTATATGTTAAAATAATTTAATTTTTCGATTAATTAATTTAAAATAGTATTAAAAATAATTGAAATTCTTAGATAAGTTTTATTATTTATGAAAATAATTGAATTCTTGCTTAGAATTTTATCAAAAAATTTCTTTAAAAAATTGAATTTCCATGAAAAATGTTTTTATTAGTGAAAGTATTTTGTTAAATAATATTTTTTTGCAATTCTTTTGAAAATGCTATTCTAAATTAATTGAATTCCTGTGGAAATTTTATTATTTATGAAATTAATTAAATGTTGGATGATTTTTATCAATTTTTTTATGAATAATGAATTTTTATGAAATAATGAATTCTTTTGCGAAATTTTATGAAAATACTAGATATTGAAAATAATTGAATTTCGAATATTTTTTAATTCTTTTGAAATATTCTTTTCTCTTTGCATTATAAATTCTAATTAGTCTTAAAAGTGAAATTTCAAAAAATAAATACTAAATTATTTATTTTTTGTCATTTTTATTTTTTTTTTTTGTATATAATTTGAATGCAAAGCTTAAAAATTAGAAATTAATTCCAAAAGAAGAAACGAAAATTTGAAAAAGAAAAAGTAGAAAATAAATTTTTCATGAAATATGATTCTTTCCAGATGAGTGAGAATTTTTGGTGTATATGTGAGAAAAAGTCTCAGCGGGAGGGGTTGAAAAAGGAAAGCGAAAAAGAGCAGGTTTTTCTCGAAAAACTAAGGGTTTCGAGTTCCTTAAATAGACTGGCCTGCCTGAACTCACCCTCTTAGGATTCTATTTTTTCCCTCTAACAATATATATACATATGAATGTAGAATATAATCACCACGTGGCCGAACATTAATAGAACATAATTTTCAAGTGTCGAGTTCTCTCCGTTACGTGTGCTGACAAAATAATGCTTACTTAGCAAATATTCAAATTTTCACAACATCACAAATTCTTCATTATTCTCAATAGTAAAAACTGAAAACTCCGCACTCGACCATATTTTATTTGATCGAAAATAGCCTCTACTAAAAACAATCAAAAAAAAACATTATTAATAAATATTAATTAAAAAAAAAATGTCATAAAAATATTTACTAAGAAATAATATCGTAAAAATATTTTTGTTTTTTAAGAGAGAGAGAATTATTTTATTAACAAAAAAAAAAAATTTTTGAATAGAAATTTCTATTTATTTTTAATAATAATGTTTATTGGAAAAACGATTAAATATTATTTATTAACTGTATCACGATTTTTAATAATTCGTGTCATAAAACGTACAAGGGGGAAAGAATGTCAATATTCAAGTTTGATAATTTAACAATAGGGTAAAAAAACAATAAACTGTCATGTGTCCTAATCAACCGAATTATAATCAGTCTGAAGTAAATATCGATCAAAAAATCTAAATTTTATTTTTTTTAACATTTTAATAAATTTATTTTATTACTAAAACAAAATATTTTCGAATAATAAAAACAATAGTAACAATAATTGTTGTCAATGATAATAATCTGAAGTAAATAATTTTCGTAAATCTCGAATAAAAAAAATTAAATCTATAATTAATTGTTGCAAATAAATTAATTAATTGCAAATTAATCTGAATTTTTGGAAATTTTGAATAAAAATAATAAATCTATAATTGTTCCTAATAATAATCTGAATTAATTTTCGTAAATATCGAAATTAAATCCGTAAAAAATATTGAATACTGAATTTTTTTAATAAAAGAAAATTTTATTTTTCAAAAAATAAAATTTAATAGTGTTATTTTATTTGGCGCCTGATGGAATTTAATAATATACAAAAAAATATTTGTATTTTAGTGTTATTTTTTCTAAACTAAAAATAATTATTTTCGTTTTGATTTCTTTTTTTATAATAAAATACACAGATGTGAATGACTATTCGATCGGTCAATTCACGTGACAAAATAATATTCACAAAGATTCCGCGTTTTCCTTGACGTAACTCTTTGAATAGTTGCCAATGTTTATGCGCGATGTGTTAATGAAAAGACATTTTCTATTTCAACGCTTCCTCGCATGACGAGTAAACAAAAGTGTAGTAAACACACCTACCCATTCGTTTATAATATAATAAAAAAAATTTCTTTTTTTATTCTCTATTATTTAGTTCAGATTTAAATCCATAGTTAAAATATTTTTGGAAAAATGTCGAAATTTTTCAATTTTTTGAAAAAATTGGAAATTTTTGGTTAATTAATTATTTATTTATTTAGGTAAAAGCAAAAAGAAAAAAAATTAAGAGTTTATAGAAAAAGAGAAGGGGGGAATGAACGAAGAGGTTTTTTTATTTATTGACCCCGGCGGAAATATTTTTATTATGTTAATATTTTAGAACGTCAAGATTTTCGAACTTTGATCCCCTTTGAGATAAATATCGTTTATAACCAATGATAATATTATCTTAGTCCTCTTAAACACTCTTAATACTCTCTTTAAAATTTAAACACAAATTTATTGACTGATAAAAGTAGCAACATTATTTTAAAACTGCAAACATTATTCAAAGAACAGAAATTTTTATTAACGGAAGAAAGAATTCTTTCTAATATTTTTCCAACTTTTTAAGTTTTATTTTTTCACTTTTAAAATTTACAGGAAAAAATTTCTCATTTGCTTCTAAATTATTTATTTACATTCATTTATTATTATTAATTTATGGAGAGGAATTCTAGTTTTATTTTTCATTTATTTTTAATTTATAGGAAAAAATAGAAATTTATTTGCTTCTAATTTATTACGATTAATTTTTTATTATCAATTTATTCTTAGTAATTAACTACCGATTTATTATAATTTATCAAGTAGAAAAAAATGTATTTATTTTCAAGTTCCAAAAGAAATTTTTTAAATATTATTTATTTTTAAATATTTATTTTTTAATTATGAATTTTATTTATCAAGTTTTTAATTAAAAAAAAGTTATTTATTTCTAAAGTTCCAAAAGAATTTTTTTTTGAAAATCGAAAAAAAGTAAGAAAATTATTTAGGGCAGATTTTAAAAATTTAAGACTAAATTTAAATTTACCGAGAGGTTTTAAAAAGAAAAGAGACAATTCCGTTCCAATTTGATAAAGTTCAGAGGTACCGAGGCCAGAAATAAAACATAACACCTCTAAGATGTAATGAATCTTAAATTAGTTTAATTATCAGGAAAGCAATATTCTTTTCTAATTAGCCATCGAGTTAGAATTTTTCTATTACCTAATCTCTGTCTTCTAACGAGAGCGATTACATTGTTTAAAACTTGATAAATTATCTCAAGTGAACAAAAAAAAAAAAAATAAATAAAAACTATATTTGCTATCTTGAGATAATACTATTTTTTTCCTATTCTATTTTTACGAATTTGATTTCTTTTTTAGAAACAAAAAAAAAAGAAGAATATCGAGGTAAATTGTGGTTAGAAGAAATAAATTACTATAAAACATGCGAGGAAATAAAATCTTTTTTTAATATATAGTGTTACTTAAAAAAAAGGCGCAGGTATATTACGATCGGATTTAAAACTTGTAAGATAAACTGAGTGTCATTGTTCTTGTGTTAGAAGATACAATGTTGTTCTCGTTTCACGACAGAAAAAAACAGGAATTACACTGCGAAACACGAGAAGAATTGTCTCATCAGAAAAAACTGGTTGAAAATGACAAAAAAAAAACATTATTTACACATCAGGAACATAATCAATACACTCGAGTCCTACTTTCTTTAATTCTCAAAACAATTCTTCAAAATTGACCAAAAAGATTTTTTTCTCCTCTCATTTTGACTATTTTCAAATTACTATCGAAAAGAATTTTTTTTATTCTTTTTTATTATTAAATTTTTGCCATTACTGTTTTTATTATTTCTATTTTTATTATTACTGTTTTTAATATTATTATTTTTATTTTTATTATTATTATTATTTTTACTGTTATTGAAGTTTGCGAATTTGGAAAATCAAGGTCCCGTCGTAGGAATTTTGCGATGTGGAACACTTTCCTTTTTGTTTCCGCTTTCGTTTTCGGTATCAACTTCGATCGACGCGGGTTTCCGCTGGGCAAAAATAAGTGGGGCTGAGGGAGAGGTCTCTATCGATCAGAGTGAACTTCAACAACGTCACGAGGTCACGGTTTCGTCTATTCACGCGTGCGCGTCTATAAATTTTAATAAAACCAAAAAAAAAAAGTGTATATCCCAAAGTTGAGGGTGAAATTATAATTTAAAAGTAGACGGAAAAATGAAGAATGAAAAAAAAAATTTATATCTACGCTCCAAGAAAAATTTGATAAACGAACATTGTTCTTTTTATACTAAAAACTTAAATTTCAAGAATATAAAAAAAAATTAACGAATAAAGATAAATTTAAAAAAATTAAACAAAATAATTAATTACCTAATTAATAAAATAAATGAAATTTAATATTTTTTCTTTAGTTAAATATCTTTTTTTCCTTTTCTTTCTTTAAATTTCTGTTTTATATTTACTGAACAGCCATTTACTTTTTTAATTCCTTAATTATTGAAAAAAAAAATATTTTTGTTTTTTTCCCTTTGTATAGAAATTTTTACGATTTTTTTACTTTATTTATTTTTAAATATTTTTTTGTTTCATCTGTAAATTATTGTCTGCAAATTTAATTCAATATTAAATTAATGTCACGGATTTTTGCATCAGAATTGGGAAATAAAAAATGTGAGAGAGAAAAAGGGTGGAAAAAAGTCTACTTACCTAACAATGTAGTTGACACAGACGACAGACAGTGGCTTGTGTTGCTTTAAACAATAAATAAGAGTTGCTTGAGTTATCACCCATGCGTATCCTCCTTTTTTCCCCAAAAATCTGTAGGCCATCGTTTCACATTGTCCTTTGCTGAATACTAAAAATAGAAAATTCCTTTCAAAACATATTTTTCATCGGTAAACAAAAATGTCGACGAAACATTTTTTTTTAGAGATTAGTATAGAAATTTAAAAAGGAAATTATAAATGGAAAAATAAAAAAATATTGACAATAATAATAAAAACAAAAACTAAAAAAACAAAATAAAAAACAAAAATATAAGAATAATAAGAAAAGAAGATGAAGAGGAAGAAGAAGAAGAAGAAAAGAAGAATAATAATAAAAATAACAGTAACAATATTAATAATAAATAAGACGATCAATTTAATTAAAAAACTTTAGAAAAACTGACAAATTTGTACCGAAATTTATTATTATTAATAAGAATTATTTATTTTTATTAATAAAAATAACAGTAACAATAATAATAATAATTATAAAGTTTAAGATGTAAGCAAAATATCAGTTATCATAAGTAAAAATATATTATATATAAAAATATTACATAAACAATAATGAGTAATAGTAAAAAAATATAGGATCCTAAAGTTCTGAACGTTCAAATGAACGAAATTTATTTATTTCTTCTACAAATTAAATTTTTATTGCAATTATTTTGCGTCACTATCCAAAAAATTAATAACTGAGTTTCTAACCGTAAATATTTCAGTTTTTAAATTTTTTGTGATTAGTAATTTATAAAAATATCTTCAATAAAAAATATTTTGTTCATTTGAACGTTCAAAACTTGGGGATCATAAAAATATTCATCTCAATAACACTAGTAATATTTATTAATAAACATATTATTTTATTTAATATAATTCAACAAAGATAAGAAATAGCAATTTGTTTTTTAACGAGCGCGCTATTATTTTTTAAATTAATTCAAAATTGTTTAAATACAATTCAGATAAATGATTAGAAGTAACCGTTTATCGATAATATTTACTAAAATTTATCCTCCTCTTCTTCTATCCGATTCTTATGTAATTAACAATTTTTCAATATTCTGTAAAACATTTTCTTTTCATAAATTTTTTTCTTTTTACAAGCGCAATCGAAAAACATTTCTGTTAAATATCATTTTATATAAGCACAATGACTATTTTTTTCTCTTGTTGAATAATAAATTTCAATACTTAGTGAAAATAATAAAATTTGAATATTAGAAAATGAAAGAAAATAGAAAATTAACATAAATTATTATTATTGAAAAGAATATATATAAGCAAAAAAAAATTAACATAGTAAATAGTCTAAAAAATAAAGGGGGAAAAATCCATAATTAGTAAATTTTGCATAGTTTTCGAATTGAAAATTCGTAATTAGTGAATTTTGAATTGGAAATTTTCGTAGTTTTCGAATTGAAAATTCGTAATTAGTAAATTTTCGTAGTTTTCGAATTGAAAATTCGTAATTAGTAAATTTTCGTAGTTTTCGAATTAAAAATTCGTAATTAGTCAATTTTCGTAGTTTTCGAATTGAAAATTCGTAATTAGTAAATTTTCGTAGTTTTCGAATTAAAAATTCGTAATTAGTAAATTTTCGTAGTTTTCGAATTGAAAATTCGTAATTAGTAAATTTTCGTAGGTGTCGAATTGAAAATTCGTAATTAGTAAATTTTCGTAGTTTTCGAATTGAAAATTCGTAATTAGTAAATTTTCGTAGTTTTCGAATTGAAAATTCGTAATTAGTAAATTTTGAATTTGAAATTTTCGCAGTTTTTGAATTGAAAATTCGTAATTAGCAAATTTTTGTAGCTTTCGAATAGAAAATTCGTAATTAGTAAATTTTAAATTGGAAATTTTCGCAGTTTTCGAATTGAAAATTCGTAATTAGTAAATTTTCGTAGTTTTCGAATTGAAAATTCGTAATTAGTAAATTTTGAATTAGAAATTCCCAATTATAGTAAATTTCGAATTGGAAATTCGTAATTAGTAAATTTTGAATTAGAAATTCACAATTATAGTAAATTTCGAATTGGAAATTCGTAATTATTAATTTTCTCTCGTAAAATATTAATATTCTTTATCGATTCTATGCAAAAAAAAGAAATAAAAAAGAATAATTTGATTAAATAAATTAATATACTTTGAAATAAATTTATATTTTTCAATTATGAGCCTAATTTTCAATTAAAAAAAAAAATTAAAATAAAAGAGTATTTTTAATACCTAATATTAGGTAATATTAGGCAAAACGAATATTATTAATATTTGAATATTAAATTAAAAAATTGCTTACAAGATTTAAAAGATTTATTAAGAGACCCATTGTCCTGAGCGTGATAAAAATCAAAAGCAGACTGTCCAATTAATTCACTACTTTCCCAGCCCAAATACTCGGCCAATCTGTAAAGAAAAAAAAGCAAAATTTGAAAATTTATTTACATTTCGTTACAATAATTATTGTATTAATTTAATTGCTAATAATATGAAACTAGATGCAAAAAAATTGGATTAAAAAATTAGATCAGATTTTTATTTTCTATTATTTCTTATCATTATCTTTTACATCTTTTCTTATCTGATATTATTGTTAAACTCACTTTTCATCGGCATAGGTAAATTTCATATTGAGATTATGCTTTGAGAGAAATGTTTGCCGACCCAATGGCACTTCAATATTACTTGGATGTGGTACAGGACATCCCACCACGACAAGTGAGGACATTAATTCATTTTCAGTTTCCTCCTCGCCACCGCTCGCCTCATTAGAACTTCCATTTTCACTTTGAGCTGATTTTTGAATTTGTGGAGTCGAAACTATTTGCCCCGTGCAATGAATAACCTGAAATTGTCAATTATTTTATAAAGTGAGAATTGTTTGAATTCTTTTTAGTTTACATTTTTTTAAAAATGTTCTATTGTTGCTATTATTATTGAGTAAATATTTATTACTAATGGATTAATTATTAATTAATTACTATTAATATAATATTATTTACTTATGATTTTCAATCTAGAAATTTTTTTTTTGTGATTTTTTTTTAGTAATTAATTAGTAGTAAATTAATATTACAGTTATTATTTATTTAAATTACGATTTTCAAGATAGAAATTCTGTTTTTTGTGATTTATTTTTTGACTAGTAATAATTTATTAACTTATTTAGAAAATATAATATTTTGTGATTCCTTAAATGAGAAGGACAATAAAGTCATTTTTTTTTCTTCGGGAAAATGATAATAATTAATAATTAATAATTTTTCCAATTGTTGGATTGAATTCCTTTATCTTTGTTGAGAATATTTAGAGCATCATCATCATCTCTATATTTACCTTGTACGATGCACTCTTCAAATTAACTTTTCTTCCTTTGTTAGTGAGTGTGCATTTCAATCGTAAAAAGAAATTGCAAGACTGTTTCCCCGCCTCGTCGAATTTCGTCGATAAACTCTCTCTTAATTCATCGTGATCGCAAGGATGACTGTATTCGTAGACACTCTGTCCCATCATGTCCATCTGAATAATAAATTTTTACAAAATTAGAATAATAATTCCATTTTTTTCCTCTCTTTCTCAACTTTATCATTTCATTCCAAAATTATTTTGAATATCCAAAGAAAAAATACTATCTAAAATTTTATTTTAATAGAAATTGTTGAAAATATTTTCCAAGAAAAGTTTTATTGACATTTTTTACTGAATTTAGAAAAATTTAAATTAATTGAAATTGATTTTGAATTTTATTGAAAAAATTTTATTCGTAACCGTATTTTTTTTTATTAAGCAGAGAAAAAGTCAGTTTCACGGTTTCGAAAAAATTCTAAAATTAGAGCGCCATTTCGAATGAATTTTAAAAAGTAAATTCTCCGAGCTTAAAAAAGAAGATTTCAAAATCTTAAATCTATATTGAAACTTACAAGGCTCTCTCTTTCAATCGAAAAAACTCCGGCAAATTTTAATTTTAGAAAAAAGTATTAACTTTTTCGTAAAATTAAAATTTGCCGCAGTTTCTTCAGAAGTAAAAAGGGTAAATTTTAAAGAAAGTAATTTTCTTCAGAAATTAAAGAATTTTCATTAAAATTTAAATTAAAATTTACAATTTGGTGAATTTTTTCAAGTTAAAATTTTCGTATTTAATTGAATTAAAATTTTAGTAAAAATTTATTTTATTGAAAACAAAATTTACTTTTGAGAAATGGAACAAACCTGTGATATGCCCAGATAATCGCTGACATTTTCGGAAAGATAAACCATGTCACCATTGTTGGATAAAACCAACATAAATCCATCCAGAGCTTTAAGGAAATTTTCATCGAAATCAGATGGAGCTTCTGGTTTTGACAAAGGAGCAGGAACTGTAATAACAAAAATTGTTATACTTTTTTTGTAAATTATTATCATTTTCTATTCTTTTTGAATTTAGAAAACAATTTCTTTTCTTTCATTTACTGTTTTATTAATTTTTCTTTCTTTATTGATATTTTTAGTTAAATTCGAAAAAATTCGAAAAACTAGTGTTTTTCAAAAATATTTACACTTTTTGCTTTTCTTTTATAATTAAATATTTGAAATAACAGATATAAAACTTTATTCACGACATCTTCGACCTCCAAACATTTTTAAGACACGTGCATCTGTTTTTAACGTTGACACAAATTCGAATTTTTCGAAAAGAATGTTTTTGTATTGTCAATTTTTCAATTCAAGCGGATAAATAAATAATTTTCAATTTTTAATCAATTTAATTGTATTACAATTAGGAATTAATTTATTATTTAATTATTTTATTTATTTACTTATTTACGAATATTTTTAAAATTTTCAATTATATTGAAAGAAAAGAATTGACGAAAATATTTGAGAGAAAAATTTGTATAGGTATTTAATTTTTATTTGCCTTCTTTAAATTTGACGATGAAAAAAAAACAATATGTAAATGAATTTCTCACCAGAATCGACTAAAGCTCGAACTTTCAAGTAAGCAATTGCCAATCTCATGACACTTGCTTTATCTAAATGGGCAGCTTGCTCAGTTGTCATTGGCAGTACTCCTGCCAAATCTGTGAAAATGTCCGTCTCTCGACTCCTTCGACATCTTGCAGCATCCCTCGATTTTTCCTTTCTCTTCTCATTGCTCCTACAAAAAAATTAATAGTTAAAAATATTTATTTAAAATAATATTTAAAAATAGTTCAAAAATACCAACTATAATTAATAAATTATTTATTTATTTATTAACAATATATACTTAGAAATACTATTATTTTCCAATTTAAAATAAAAATAAAACACTTTTCTAAACTTCATATTTTTCATTTTTCTTTTCATTTCTCATTATTTTTCTCCTTTAATAAAAAAAAAATTGGAAATATTAATGCAGTGGAAACTTTCATTTTTTTCGTCTTTTTTTTATTGGCTCTAGAATGGCAACACTATTAATCAAGATTATAGATAAAAGGATCACACCCAAAAAAAAACTCCAACCATTAAATTTAAATGTTACATTCGAGACAAATATTTCTCGCATTTTTTTTTCATTAAAAAATACTGTAAATTTCTTAAAAAAAAAATTTACCACCATTTTATTAGCATATTGTCATAAAATCGTGAATTAAAATTTTTATTCAAAATCATCCATGTCTAGAGGGGGAAAAAAATCCTAAAATTAATTTTCTTGAAGATTATTTTCTTATTTAATTATTCTATGGAAAAAAAAGAATATTGAAAGCATTAAAAAAAATGAAAGCATCGACCCGAAAAATGTTATCTGTAAGTGTCTAATATTTGTCAAATTATCAGAAACGTGACATAGACGAAACCTGATAAGCCCATGTGAATAAATAGTTTGATTAAGGTGAATTGCTTAAAAATTACTTTTCACTATTTAATGTACATAGAAAAAATTGTCGAAAATTTGTATTTTATATTTATAGAAAAATATTACAGAAAATATTAACAAAACTGTTAATAAATTTTATTTAATTTTTTTTTTATTATTTAATTTTATTATTATTTATTATTATTAAGGAAAAATAATTTATTTTGCAAATTTTCATTGTTATGAAAATAATAGGTAATAAAATTAATACAAAATATTTAATTTAAAATTAAAATACAATAAGAAAAAAAAAAATTTAATTTTTTTCCAAAATGTAAAGAAAAAAATTTACTAACAAAAAAATTTTTTAGAGGGGAAATACAATAAAATATAAAAATAAAAATAAAAAAATAAAAAATAGAACAAAATTTTTTTTGGAGGAATTCAAATAAAATGAAAAAAAAAAATTTAGCACATTTTTGTTCAATTCGGATATAAAAATATTTTTTTTCAAAAAAATTTCCATTTTAACGTACAAATAATCCTCGAAATCACTCTCGGAATTGAATATTGTGTTGGAATTTCCTCTATAACAATTAATGCTGTAGGGATTGTAAGAATAAAAATTCTCGCCACATGGCAAAATTGTCGACGATGAATTCGAATAATATGTGGAATTAAATAATGGACAATCTGTAACTGTACAAGTGAGCCACTTTTCCTCACTGCAAAATCCCCTTTGTCGATAATTATTTTCATTTTCGTAAATTAAATTTTCATTGTTGTAATTATTATTTTCTTTTGGTGGCGCAGCACGAAATTCCTGACCAAAAACACAAAGACGATCTAAATCTTCAACGTCAACTGGTCCATCACACACTGGCAAATCGAAACAATAACGATTTTCCATTTCTTGAGGAAAAACCAACAAAAAAAAAATATATTTTCTTTTCACTCCCCCAACGTTAATTTAAATAAATTATTCATTTGTATTTTGGAGAGTTCGTAATTTTTCTCTCGAGCACTAAACAAAATTTACACTACCGACACGAAATATTTTCTAGAGAAAAAAAAAAATTTTAAGCCAATTTTTTTATTTATTAAATTTTCTATTTATTAATTTAAACATTCTTGATAATTTTTCTCTTGAGCACAAAAAATTTACTCAATTGGCGAAATCTTTTCTAGACTAAAAAATTTTTAAAGCAAAGTTAATAAATTTTTTATTTATTAATTTAATCATTCGTATTTTCGAAAGTTGATAATTTTTTTCTCGAGCACAAAAAATTTACACTACTGAAAACAAGAAAACAAAAATTTCTAGAGAAAATTTTTTTAAATTGAAACTTTTGTGTTGAAAATAATTGAAACTTGTTGAAAAATAAAATTATTATTAAAGAAATTAGAAGATAAATAAATAAAAAGAAAAAAATTAAACAAAATTATTTAAAAGAAAAATTAAAAAAGTTAAAATTAAAATTGAAAAAGTCAAAATTAAAAAAGAAATGAATTAAACAAAATATTGAGGCTTTTTTTCTCTTCTCAGTGAAATAAAAGATTTGGAGCAAAGTAGATATGACCCAGATTATCGTTAATATAGAAAATGAAAGTTAATTATTTTACGAAACAAGAATGTAGATTTGCCAATCAACCTTGTCGCTAAATTTGATACAAACTTTTTTTTTTAAATCAGAATTTTTTCGTGTTTTTTCTTTTGATTTTTTTTCTAGACTTTTAACAAGATTTTTTTTATTTTCTGATTGATAATTTACATTTTAAGAAATTTTTTCGTTTCCAAATAATCTACACAAAAAAATGAGTTTTCAATTAAAAAATAAATAGAGAATTTGTGTTTTTTCTTTGGTATCATTAAAATATTAAATGTTGACTAAAGAAAAAAAAAACTACTTAAAAAACAATTTCATAAAAAAATCGAAAATGTTACACATAAAATATTTAAGAATAAAAAATATGTAAATAAAATAATAAATAATAAATATTAAATAATAGATAAAATTATAAATTAATAATTATATTATAAATTATAATCATAAATAATAATAAATAAAATTATTTTAATTTCTTTGTTTAATTAGTTTTTTTCCGAATTTACTATTTACTTATTGTTATTATTATTAACAGGACTTGTCCCGTCAACAAATAAATAAATAAAAAATTATTATTATTAATATTAATTATTCTTCAGTTTTTGAATATTCAAACTATTTATTATTTTTATTTCCTTTAAAAAAACAACAACAAATGAGTAAAAAAAAACAAGTTTCAAGACCGGTTTCTTTAAGAGGAATCTTATCACGAGCAACGAACTTGCGATCACGATTTGAACTTCCGGTTCGTTTTCGGGCTTAAAAAGAATATTCGCGAGTCCACCTCTGATATTAAAAGTCCGAGGTTTAATTAAAGACTAAATCCAAAAATTTCTAGATTTCTTCAATCAAAACTTGCTTCTCGGTTTTAGATTGTTATCAATGTGATAATAGGAGTCAATCGTCTTTGTTATCAATAAACTGTCTGTACTTTCATCCATTTTGAGATTTTCATTTGTCATTATAATATATAATGAATATAAATTTTGTTTTTCGTAAAAAAAAAAGAATAATTATTATAATTAAATTATCTTGAAAATAATTTAAAACCGGAATAAAAATTTTTTAAATTAAAAAACTATTGTTTTTTTTAATTATAATTCAATGTATTTAATAATTTATTAATAATTTTTTTTTAAATCTGTTTAAAAGCCTCGTAAAATTAATTTGATAAAATATTTACAAACGGACGTAAAATTACTTGAAGAATAATTAATAATTATTTAAAAAACAATAATAATATATTATTTTTATTTTATTATTTATTTATTTTATTAATTATTAATTTTAATGTAATAATTATTAATTACTATTTTATTTATTGAAAGAAAAAATTATAATAGGAACAAGAAATCAATAAAATTCTTGGGCAATATTAAACGGAAGAGAAAAATAAAATTAATGACACCAAAAGTTTGTTAATATTTTTAAATAGAAATGATAATTGAAAAAAGAAAACTTTGAGAGATATTTTTAGAAGATATTCACTCGTATAATAAAAATAAATAAGATAAACAATCAAATAATAATGAATGTAAGATAAAAAAAACAAAATTCTCCAAATTGACAAACAATAGACACAGTAAAGTATTGTTTTTGTTCTTGATGAATTTTAATCGAAAGGAATTGCATTTATGAATTGTGTGGCGTATATTATATAGCTATATAGCGCACAATGAAATACTAAACGACTCATTAAAAAAAAAGTACTCATTGTTGATTATTTATCAGTGACGACAAATTGTCATGTCTTACTTATTTCAGAATCAAAACTTTATTATTTTTCAAATTATTCATTCAAAATATTAAATAGAATTTCCCAAAAAAATAAATAATTTTATTTATCGGAATAAATAATTTTATGTACTTTTTAATAAATAAACAAAAAAAAATTTCAAATTATTCAATCAAATATAAATAGAATCTGAAAAAATCGGACCAAATAATTTTATATTCTTTTAAGTAGGGTAAATAAATAAAAAAAAATTTTTTGTAATAAAAAAAAACACTGTCCGTTAATGTATAAAATAAATAAATAAGAAAATGGGAATTAAATGAAATTTTAAAGTTAATAAAATTTAATATTAAAATATTAAAATTAATTTAATTAATTTAATTAATTAAAGTTAAATTAAATTTAATTTAATTAATTTCTTTTTTGAATTTAATTTTAACTAAATTTTAATTTTATTTAATTTCCAATTAATTTTCAATAAATAATTGGAAAATTTATTAATTTTGTTATTTATAATTTAAAGAATAATAAATTTTTCTCAATTAAAATAATTTCAGATACAAACTCAATAAAATTTGTATAAATAAACAAATTTTTATAAATTCTTATTTAAAATTAAAATAACAATAAAATAGATCATTTCTTTTTTGAATTTAATTTTAATTAAATTTTAATTTTAATTTTAATTTTAATTTCTATTTATAGAACGGAAAAAAAATTTTTTTTGCCTAATGTAAAGAATCAATTAGAATTTCTATCAAAAACTATAAAAGCACATTGATAAAAGTCTATAAAAATTTCCCGATGAAATAATCACTTAAGTGAAATTAATGATCGTTTTATTTTTAACGAATTACTTAATATCGCATACGAGGTGAATAAACTTTTAATAAAAAAAAAGAGTCAAATAGTAAATTGAAAATTATTCTACTTCTAATTCTATTTTTATTTTACAGAAAATTTTCCATTTTTTAAGAAATTACAAATTACAATTTACAATTTACAAATTTGTAAATTTTGTCCATTTGGTAAAATTCGAAAAAAGGAAAAAAATTGTTGTTTTTTCTAAATTGCGTCATTTTTTTTCCAAACAAAGAAAAAAACGAACCGCTTTTTTTTTAATTCAAGGACAGTATAGGATAGTTTGTATGTAACTGAAACTATTGAGAATATGCGGCAATGAATTTAATTATGTAAATAGATTCTAAGAGACAGATTAACTAATAAGCAGGTGAAAAATGATTTATAAACTTGTGAGTGAGGAATTTTAAAAAATCCAAGTAATAAATTTCTTTTAATTGAGAAAGAAGGGATAGTCACTGATTCTTGATTAATTAAAAAATTCTTTTTTCTTTTTTTTTAATTCATCGAAAGTTTAGTCACTTTTTGCTAGTTTTTTTTTTTTTTTTGATAATAATTCATCGAAACAAATGCTCACTTTTTGAAATTTGTATCCATTTGCACTTAATTCGCAATGTTTGCAAATTTTCAAATGTTTTTCTTTTCTTTTCTTTTCAATTACAAAGAAAATTGAGATTCTTCGATTATGGAGACTTGTTGTAATGTGAATTAAATCTCGTTCTGTGGGGATCAGTTTGAGGTGAAGGATTCAACTTTACACGGGGAGAGAGATGTTTTGACGTCATTATACAGACTGTTTACTGATTTGTGGCACGCGTGGAACACAGACGAGACGACGATTATGACCAGGAGAAGTCTATAACAAATACACAATATTTATGAAGAGAAGAGTTTTCTTGATATAATTTTTTTTTTTTAAATCTCTGAGAGGGAGAGAGAGAGAGAAAGAGCCACTGACAGATAATCGGGTCGATTTTTTATTGCAACAAATTCTTCCATCAGTCACATCCTTTTTATTTGACCCGATTTTTTTTTCTCCATCTCCTTCTCTCTTGCGGGAGCTGTTATAAATTAAAAAATTGTTTTGCACTTTAGAGAAGAGAAGCTCATTCGGCCCTCGCTTTATTAATTTTGATTTAGGTGCAAAGTTTATGAGGTAATTTTTTATTTTTAGCTTCTGTAAAATTTGATTTTGTGTCAATTTTCCAAAATATTCCATTTCTATTCGAGTTTTGTTTATGGGAATTTTCCACTTCTATGAATTTCTATTTTTACTGGATGTACAAAGTTCGAAATATATTTTCGAAAATTGGTCAATAGAATTTTTCAAAATATCCAATTATCATTCGAGTGAGTTTTCCACTTCTATTTTTATTAATTGTCCAAATTTCCGAATTTGCGAAGCTATTTCCAAAATTTTGGTTTCCACTTGTTGAAAAATTTCTGTCGAATCCGAATTTTTTTTTCTCGATTTCATTCGACTTTAGTTTTGTTTATTTTAAATTTTCCACTTCTCAAAAATTTCCATTTTTCCTGGTTGTTCAAATTTCCACTTATTTCGAATTTGCGAAAATATTTCCAAAATTTCGATTCTCACTTGTTGAAAAATTTCCAAATTCCTTTTTGTTTAAATCTCCAATTTTTATCGAATTCTATTCACATTTTCTTCGAATTTCCACCAATTGACCTGAAATTCTCCGAATTTTTATCGTCTTCACTGAAACTAAATTAATTTCCAATCGGTTAATCAATATAATATCGATATTAAAATACAAAAACAAAAAAAATTAATTAGTAAATAAGAATAAACAGTTTTTCAACAAAACGAAATTGTTGAGTGTTTTTTGAAAAATATTTTATGTCAAAAAAAAAGGATTTAATTTATAAGAGGAAGTTTAACGTATGTTAAAGAGCTTCTTCTGATGTTATTTATGTAAATTTTATGGAATAGGAGTAAAGGCAAAAAAAGAACAGGAAACTGTGGAAAAATATTGTAAACAAAAAATAAGAAGAATAGAACAACTTTTTATGAGTAAAAAATAATTTTCAATTTTACAAAAAAAATATAAAATTTAATATTGATCCAAGAGACAAAATAAGAAAATTTATTTACTTATTTACCAAAAGTTGAAAAAAGTTTTTTTGAACATCATAAAATTTTGGTAGGAATGAGATTTTTATTTTGAGATATTCAATGAAGGGATTCTCGTTTTTCCTGCTCTGCTCCCTCTGTGTACTTGTTTTAATAATTTTTTTTTATAACTCGAGTCATCGCCCTTGTGAGTCGAGGTTGTACAATATTTTCTCTTTTACAAAGAACAAAAAAAATTTTTTTCCTTTTTATTATATTTGAAAATTTAAAAGAAAAACGTTAAGTAAAGTTTAATTGAGTATAATTTTATGATTAAAATTTTGTCTTAATCGCTTAAGATATGAAAACGAAAAAAAATAAGATAAAGAAAATACTCTTTAATGAAAAAAAAACTGTTAATAATATAATACAATTTGTAACAAAAAATTTAATTTGTTCGTGAAAACAAAAAAATTACAGCAAAAAAAAAAAGGGTTTCCTTTCTCTGCAAAATAAAAGAGAAAGATAACACTTATCTCATTGTTACAATTTACCGGAAAGAAAATAAAAATAGAAAAGTCCTTCTCGAAAAAAAAGAAAACTACAACTAAAAAAACAAAAATGACAAACAAAATAATTCGCAAACAATTTTTTATAACCCATAGTAATTGCATTAGTATTGAGATGGAAAATATCGTAAAGATAATAGAAATAAAAAAAAATTCTTTTATACATGTGATGATATTGTGAAAATTGTTGCCTTCTTAGATAACTCATTTTTTTATTTGCTAAAACTTTGGTTCCTATCGTGATTAAAGTGCTCTGTACACTTATTTACTTATTATGTAATATTTTTGTTTTTCAAGAAACATTTATTAGTTTAATAGTAAAAAAAATTATAGTAAATAGAAATTTTTATTATTTAAAAAAAAAAAATTATTTAGTATAATAACAAAAAAATTATTTAGTGTAATAGCAAAAAAAAAATATTTCTTGTAATATCAAAAAAATTATTTAATGTAATAACAAAAAAATTATTTTAGTATTTTTTATTTAATTATTAATTTACTTTTTTTTATTTTATTATTTTTATATTTTATTTATACTTTATTATTTTATTGTATTATTATTGTATTTAATTTATATTTGTTTATTTTATTATTATTATATTTTATTCATATTTTTTTATTTTATTATATTATTATGTATTATTTTTTTTTATTTTATAATTAATTATTTAAATAAACACGAAAAATAGTACCTAAAATTTATAATATATTGAAAAATAAATTATTCATTCCCATTCGTAATTTAAATTTCGAAATAGTGGAAAACAATAAAAAAAAATTAATAATAATAAGAATGAATAATGAATTAAGAGTTTCAGAACTTGTTTGTAAATAATAAAAAAAAAACAGTACGTTTGAATGATTTATTATTATAAAAGGAACTGTAAATAAAAAGAGCCTTCAAAAAATGAAATTCCAGATCTATCAAGGGAAGGTTTTAGCAACAAATAAATGTTATTAGAATACTTATAAAGGTACTGTACGTCAAAGCCTATAAAGCTCTCGGAAAGAAAACTTGGTCATGGTACGAGACATCCTTGAATTGTGAATTTAATGAAAAACAACTGTTCGCTTAATTTCCTCTCACGAGACTGCAGCTTTTTAAAGCGAATTTCGAAAAACATTCTTCTAAAATTACATTTCATTCCAATTTCTTTTTTTTTTCTATTCTATGTATATACATGTTCCACATTTATTTCTTTTTTCTCGAAAAAGAATAGAAATTCGCAGACAATGGAAATGATCGAAATTTAAAAATAGTTCATTTGTACAATAATTTAAGTTAATAAATTATTTTCAGATTTTTTTGAAATTCTAGAAATTAAAGATTCGAAAGTTGAGAGTTTGGAGAAATATTAAAAATGTATCTCTTTTTTTTACTGTTCTTTCGACAAACATTTGACCTTTACCATCTTCTGAAATTTCCTTAATGAGAGCTATTTAATGTTCATTAGTATACTGAGCACAAAAGAATTGATAATTAGATAGAGTAAGATTTTTAGTCAATTAGCTTCAAATCGATTTTAAAATACACTGAAAATAGATTCGACAAATTTCTCTAATCTAAAAAAAAAAAAAGGTTATTACGCATTCCTTTAGAAAATAAATTTTGTGAAAGTTTGGATTAATATCGATAACACGATTGCATCACATAGTGAAAATAAATAAAAGCACGAAGGACAAATTAATATTTCTTTCTTTATAAAAGAAAGACGAAATTCTTTACTTTTTATGCAATTTCGATAAATTTATCCCATTCCATGTTCCTAAGGAAACACAATGGAATACTTGGTGCACTTGGAGATTTATACACACATACACACACAATCACACTGAAATCAAATTATTATTTTACCTTTTTCTTTCCTTGGGTTTATTTTTTTTACCCTCCATCCTGATTTACTTATTTTTCAAGAACGTTTTCTTTATGTAGTTTTTTCTTCTTCTTCTTCTTGTAACTATTTGTTGGAAAAAAACAAGTCACTTGATAGATTTTTCCTTCACACACAAAGTTCACTAAAGACGCTACTGAAACTATATTTTTGCGCAAAATACTTTTCAGCTAACACTGTAAAATTGTGCACTCATATATTTTACAACATTGTAATATCGTGAAACGAAAACAAACCATTTTTTTTGGGAAATCGCTGAACGCGAAACGCGTGTAACGATATGGTGTGGTAAAATTTTTTTATGGTCACTGTTGGTGTGAGTCGTGTATTTCTTTGATAATGTAGTGTGGGGAAATAAATGACGTCAAAAAAAAATACTTATTTCATAATACAAGTGCTGGCATCTTACTGCTTTAACATTAAGTAGATAAAGACAGTGTTTTAAGAGAGAGTATTTTATGAGAAAAAGACAAGAGAGAAATTTTCTTGATTGTTTTTTCTTCTTTGTGGGGAAACTTTATTTTGGGGAGAATTTATTTTAATTAGTATATTTTTTAATAATTTCGGATTTTTGGATATTTTCATGATTTTCTCCTTGTTTTTAACAGTAGTTTCCAGTTCGTCCGTTTTGGCGCTAGGTTAGAAAGTACTTAAGTCGCATTTCCAAGATGTCTACGCACTGATTGGCTAAAAATCGCGCACTAATTTTGAAATAGCCAATGAGAATGCGGTTTGCATGGAAGTGCGCCTTTAGTTTTTTGCTAGCGACATAAACAAATCAAAAGTTGAAAATAATAACAACTTATTTTATTTATAATATTATTATTATTATTATTATATAAAACGTTTATTGGTTGATATTAATATTCTATTAGTTTTCTATACTATTTACGTTTTTTCTCATTTTGTTTGCAATTTAGAGATTGTTCGACCATGGTTCGACCATTGGATAAAGCATGTTTACATACTTAAACATAACCTCAATTTAAGAGTTTTTAGAAAATTGACAGAAAATCAAGAAAATAATAACAGAAAAGATTATTAATAAGGAAATATTCAAGAATAACTAAGGGATTATTATTGCCATCACTATAAGTAATTGTTTTTAAAGGAAACAGGAGATTAATTCTAAAATTATATATAGTTAACAAAATTAACAAGGACGAAGTGATCAATTGTTTATGAAAATAAACAAACGTTTTTAGAATTAACAGGACTTCAGGTATGTATTTAAAATTATATTATGTTCAAATTTTTATTTAAATTATTTGAATTACACAATAAACGGTAACATTTATTTTATTATTAAAAATTTCAAATGTCAAAGTATGAATGTAACCTAAAGTTTTGAGTTTAAATGAACAAATATTTACTTTGGAATTAAAATTGATTTTCATCTACAATTTTTAATTTACATTATAATTAGTAAATGATACGCGGGTGACGCGGTATTCAGTTTATTATTATTTTGTAAATTAAAAAATTTTATATTTTCAAGAATAAACATCAATTTTTAAATGATTACAAATTCAAAATTTAAAGAATTCACTTATTTGGCACATAATAAATAAATAATAAAATATACCTTCAAAAAATTTAATTATTTTCAAAAATTCAGATAAAATTCTTCGAAACAATTCAATTATCTTCATAAATAAAATGTTTTGGAGGAATTCAATTATTTTCAATGCAATTTTAATAAAATTACTCGAAAGAATTCAATTATTTTCAAGAGTTTTAATAAAAATTCAATTATTTTCAAAAATCCTGATAAAATTCTTCGAAACAATTCAATTATTTTCATAAATAATAAAATGTTTTGGAGGAATTTAATTATTTTCAATACAATTTTAATCAAATTTCTCGAAAGAATTCAATTATTTTAATAAATATTATTTAAATTCAATTATTTTCAACAATTCTGATAAAAAATTCTTCAAAACAATTCAATTATTTTTATAAATTGTAAAATTCTTGGATCAAGAATTCAATTATTTTTGTAAATAATTATAAAATTCTTCTGAAAAATTCGATTATTTTCAATACAATTTTAATAAAGTTTCTAGGAAAAAATTCAATTATATTCAAGATTTAATAAAATTTCTCTCACAGGTTCAATTATTTTTAAAATTTGTAATAAAATTTGTCTAAACAATTCAATTATTCTCAAAAATTTTAAATAAAATTCTTTGTAAATTTCAATTATTTTTAAATTTTTCAATTAAAATTATTTTAAAAAATTACATTATTTTTACGAAATTTAATGAAATTCTTAAAAAAATGTAATTATTTACAAAAACTTTAATAAAATTTTTTAAAAGAATTTAATTGTCTATGAATAATTTTAATATACGCGGAGAAAAAAGTATAATTAAACTTACCCTGAGAAGTGTAACTTTAATTTTATTATTTTTTCTCCGTGTAATTTAAAAGGAAAATGATTAATTACAATTAATAATAAACACGATTATTTTAAAATCTTAAAAGAAAATTTTCATAAAATTCAATTACTTTTAAAATTTTCAGTAAATATTATTTTTAAAAAACTCCATTATTTTCAAGAAAATTGAAATAAATTCTTCAAAACAATTCAATTATTTTAAAGAATTTTAATAAAAATCTTGCCAAGAATTAAATTATTTTCAATACAATTTTAATTACATTTTCTCGAAAGAATTCAATTATTAAACAAAATGTTGATAAAATTCTTAAAATGAATTCAATTATTTTCAAATTTTTTTTATAAATACTTTACAAGAATTCAATGATTTTCAGTAAATCGACAATTTAATTATTTCTGAAAATAATTTAATTCTTGAATACAATTTTATTAAAAACTCTTTAAATAATTGAATCCCTGCGAAAAAATTTATTATTTCTACAAATAATTGAATTTTTGCAGAATTTAAAAAAATAAGTGAATTTTTGAGAAGAATTTTATTAAAATTGTATTTAAAATAATTGAATTCCTGTGAAAAAATTTACATTTTCTTTCGAAGAATTTAAAAAAAAATGTTAAAAAATAATTTAATATTCCCTGGAATTCAATTAAAATGGTATTTAAAATAATTGAATTCCAGCGTAAATTTTATTATTTTTAAAAATAATTCAATTTTTTATGAAGATTTTTATTATTTATAAATTGACTAAAGAAATTTTTTTACAATTATTGATAATATTTGAATTCTTTATAAAATTCAATTATTTTCAAATTTTTTGACAAAATTCTTTCGAAGAATTAAAAAAAAAATGTTGAAAAATAATTTAATATTCTCTGGAATTCTATTAAAATTGTATTTAAAATAATTGAATTGCAGCGAAAATTTTATTATTTTTAAAAATAATTAAATTCTTGAATTGGAGTTTATTAAAAGTTTTTTAAATAATTGAACTGCTGTGAAAAATTTAATTATTTTTTTAAATAATTGAATTTTCTAGGAGAATTTTTAGAAGATTTTTAAAAATAATTGAAATTTTCGAAGAAATCAATTTAAATTGTGTATTGAAAATACATAAGTGAAATCATGATAAGAATTTTATTATTTATATACAAATAATTGAAGGTTTTACGAAGATTTTTATTTTTTTATAAATTGACTAAAGAATTTTTTTACAATTATTGAAAATATTTGAATTCTTCATAAAATTCAATTATTTTCAAATTTTTTTACAAATACTTTGCAAGAATTCAATGATTTTCAGTCTATTAATTTTACATTATTAATATAGATTTTTCATTTTTCAGTAGAGTATTATTACAATAATATTTAAATAGAAGAAAAATTCGTTCTTAAATTTTTGAACGTTTAAATCTTTAAAAAATCCTAAAATTTAAAGAATTGAGAATTTGTTTACAGATTGTAGAAAAAGAGTAGAAAAAATGTATTTTACTCTTTTCTGGTATAGAGAGCAGTGCCTTTTTTAATCCAATACTTCTCGTTAATTTCACTAGCCAATGGTATTTTAATTATAAAATTATTTTCATCCTCCTCGTAATTTTTCCACTTCTCTTGACATGGCACTTTATATAAAGGACATTCGTAAAAATTTGAAAAATTTACAGAATTCTTTTTTATTTCAGGTCTCAAACATATTAGCGGCATTTCATACCACACTGTACTTTGAAAATTGTCCACCAACATTTTTTTCTCAACACTCCATTGTCCACCGAGTAAAAATAATCCTTCAAGATAAAAATCCAGGGGATTTGTTATTTCGAACTCAGCAGTTATTTCTGTGTTAAAATGAATTTTCTCAATTGGATAATTATTAGTACGAGCGAATAACATTTTAATCGCTGTCAATAGACTTTTGCAAGAATCGAATAATCTTAAATTGAATAATTTCGGAGGACCGGAATTAATCCATTTTTGTAGAAATTCAATTTTGTCAGACAAATCATCAATGAGGGTGGAGATTGATTTAACATTAATTTTCCATGATTTTGGAACAGTGTTCAAGATCAAATGTTTGCTTAAATTTTCATATTCATCGTTCCATTGTTTATCACCCTCGTAAGCTTTTTCAATATCCCGGAAATTATTTTCGAGAAATTCGAGAAAAAAATTAGTCCTTTTTATTTCTTCCCACAGTATTGCATTCAGTGGTTCCAAATGGGAAATTGGGTATTTTTTTCCAACCTCTTCTAAATTGAACCTTGGCAATTTTTTTCGAATTTTGGAAATTATTTCAAGAGTTTGTTGAATTTCGATTTTTTTCTCCAATAATGGAATTTTGTTCATTATTTCATAACTTGTTTGAAAAATTTCCACTTGGTGCATATTTCTGATTGATTCTCCACTTTTGTCGAGTCCAAAAAATTCAGGTTTTATGTAGTTTCCAATTTTTTCGATTTCTTTGATATAGTCGGAATATTCGTGTCTTCTGGGCATGGAGATTTCTTCGGAAAGGGAATAAAATGCATCGTTCGCTATATTTGGGTTGAAAAAATCTCTTATAAAAATTTTTATTCGTTTTCTGTCGTATTCGTTTGTTATTTTACTGCCGTAACTGCAATTTTCGATTAAATTGTAAAAAGTTTGGTAGATTTGATAAATATCCCCGGAATTTAATAGATTTTTTAACTGATGAGCACTTAGGGAAAAATCGTTTTCGGTGAAATTGTAATTCATATTCCAGCCTCGATGATCGTGGGATATTCTTTCTTTGAGGAGGACGTGGAAGAAGCTCAAACCGTAGAGAAGTTTGGAGAAAATTTTATCCTTGCCGGGACAACCGTCGAAGAAGGTGATTTCAGCAAGTGGAGAAAAATTGTAAATTAGTTCCAGATTTTCCTTCAAGCCCTCAGGATTATCGCAGGTGATTTTTATTGATTGTTGAAAGAGACCCGGGGGGGAATTTTCGTTCGGCAAAATCGAGAGCCATAGACGAAAACCCAAGGCCGTGTTATTAGCATCGAAACTTTGGATTATTTTCTCTAAAGTCGGTAACCAACAGTCGGCCAAGTGACAATTTTCCAGAAAGATCCATTTTTCATTCTTCTGCGCGTCACGAATCAGAAATTCAGCTCTTTGCGTCTGATTCTCGTTGAGAGCTATTGAGAATAGTTTCGTCTCGTACCGTTTTTGTCGGGCGAATTTCGCAATCAGCGGCAGGAGTTCGAATTCACTTGGGAGGATAAATATCAACGGACTCAAGCACGTGGATTCGTTGAAGCCCAACGAAATGTCGCACTTACTTCCCTTGAACTCGATTCTTCGCTTTACGAAATCTCGACAAGCGATCAAAACTCCCTCCGGATTTTCCACTTTTACTTTTTTCAGTTTTTCCAAGTCTTTATTTACATTTACCATTTCGAAATTTGATTTTTGTTCCATATTCCAGAAATTTACGATTTCGTTCCGATTTATAATTCCTTCAGATTCGAGCATTTTCAAAGAGAGCGTGAAGGAGAAAACAAGTGCGTCTTTTTCGTAAAGGGAATTTTTCACACTCGAATGTAAACATTTCGTCAATTGTATTTTTAGAAATTTCAAACGTTTCTCCAAGCAAGTGCTACGTTTCGCTCCCTCTATTGATTTTTTGTAAATTTGAAAATACCACTCTAGGGAAAATTGATAGACATTTTGTAAATTTTCGAGTCCTTTGATTAGAGTGTAAAGTTCGGAGGAATAGTGAGCAAAATTACTGTAACCTTCACGAAATATTTGCAATCGTTCCTTTTGTTCTTTGGCAATTTTTTCCCTTTGGAGAATTTCGATTGACATTGTTTTCGAAGAGTCGAGAATTTTTAGCGCTCTTCTGTCCTCAAGGATATTGACGCTCGACGTTGAGAGGATATTCAAAACTTTCTCCTCTTCGTGACTGAGGATTTTTCTGTCCAACGATAATTCGTTTTGTAATTTTTCGTAATTGTCCTGCAATTGATAGTTTTCTTTCGCAATCACAATGTCTAGGAGTTTTTCCTCGAGGGCCTCCTCTGGATAGGTGAAATTTACAATCGTTAGTCGGTTAAATACTTGGGTGGTAAGGTTCTTTGCAGTTTGTACTGTGGCGTAAAAGCGAAAGTCTTTGGAGAAGGGGATTTTTTTTTTGAGAATGGTTATGGAATTTTCGTTGCGATAAAAGAGCGGTTCGAGAGTATTCGAGAAGAGGAAATTTTCGAAAAGGATCACCCCCCCAAGGGAGATGGTGTTGGAAATAATTGTTAGGTAATCGTCCTCTTTTGTTATGATTTTGACTGTCGGGTGTAAATGTTGAATGTATTCTTTGGCCTTTTTTTGGGGATCGATAAAAAGACAGGTGTTGTCACTGTGTTTGATGATGAGGAAATTTTGGTAGAGGAATAAATTCGGATCGGAATGGTTCCCGTCGGGGAGAAATTCAGTAAAGGAGAAGGTGTCACTGAGAGCGATTTTTTGAGCTCTTGTATAGATGGTCCAAGTTTCGGTGTAGAATGTACGAAGCCCGAGAGGAAAGGCGGAGAGATAGGTGATAAAACCGGAAGCTAGGAGGACGTCGCCAGCTAGAGAGTTGTAGCCGTTTTGTAAATTATCGGTGCAATTGATCCAGCGACTCTTCTCGCCTCCTAGGCTAGTGAGGAGGCTCTCGGCCTTCTTCAGTCTGTCCGTACAATCCTCGACCTCTTTTTCAAGTTCTTGCTTCTTGGCCAAAACTGTCTCGAGACTTGTCTTTAAATTCGACAATCTTTCGTTGAGGTCTGCTAGAGTTTCGCGCTTCTCGGCTAAATATGCCTCGGCATCGTCGCACTCCTTTTGGGCGAGGGCTAATTTCTCCTTCTTCGGGGCTACGGCCTTGGCCACCTCGTCGTAGGAGACCATTGCGCGGACCCATTTGCAGAGACCTTCGGCTGCACTCGACGCTTTTGCGACAATGTTCGGCAGGAAGCTCTTGTCCGTCATGTAGGTTGTCTTGATTATTTGCATCAACGCCGAGGAAATATTGTCCTTGTCGTAGTCCTTCAAATTTTGGAGAAAGTTCATGTCGCCCAGGACTCGTTTACTCGGACCCCAAAAGTCGTTGCTCTTTTTCCCAGTCACGGGGTCGATGACTCTTTCGGATGGCACATCGAGCATTACACACACGGCAGCCATCACTAATTTCACGGTGTCTGGTGGATTTTTCATCGCTTTCACTAAAGTAATATCGGCTGGTTTCAGAGTATTCAGAGCCGATATCGCGTCCTCGAGAATTGGAATTGCGACCGCGAGATCCGTTTCGCATTCTGTGCGTAACTTCCCTGCTATCTCGGCTTTTTTGTTAGCAACCATCTCCTCGTCTTTAACAATTGCGGTCGCTTTCTCAACACCCAAATTTTCGTTCTCAACTTCTTCCATCGTAATTCGGGTTTGTTCGGCCGACAATTCGAGCTGTGGTCGCAAAGTCATTAGGACCTTTTTCATCTGATCGACCTGATTCGAAGCGATTTTCAACTTCTCCAAACATGACAGATATTTACTCTTCGCTATCTTCAGCTCCTTCTGTTTCGCCAGAATAATCTTTCGATACAATTTCACATGTCGGACAAACACAACGGGAGTTATCCTAATATCCATAATCGAGTTCACATCCCTTTGAATATTCTGATAAAAATACTGGAAACAAACCTTAAGATCACTTTTCACCTCCTCTTTCAAAGGAACGTCCCGCAGGAAACTCGAAGTCACCTTCTCGAAAGTCTCCCTCGGCCATCCGGATAGATAATTAATTGTACAATTTTTTGCCAACTGAACCACTCTCGGAAAATTTGTCAACGATTCACAAATTACGAAATGAAGATTCCTCTTGCATTGCTTGGTGAAATAATCCATAACTTCCGATATTGGTAATTCTAAGTTTCGATTGCCATTCTGCGCCGCGAGTCGTACCTTTTTCACAATTTCTCTCTCGTCACTAACGGAAAATAATTCGTAAATCTGACCAGTTTCCAGCAAATTGACAACATCGTCGAAAAATTCATCATTCTCAAAACTTTCCGTTATCAGAACAGCGAAATTCTCATCCGGAATATGAAGTTTCAACAAAGCTTTTAAATCCGTTCGCCAAGATTCTAAATCATGGGGTTCGAATAAATTATCCCCCTGCATGTAACTGGCAAGTCTAACAATTGTCTTTCTTCCATAACCACTCGAGGAAATCAACAATAAATTCTCTTCCGGAATTGCCAAGACCCGACAAATTCTTAACAAATGCCGAAGAATAAAATTCGTCACAACAATATCAATCTTTCGACTATTCTCTTTATTATACTCCACTATGATTGTATCAACTTTACTCAAAATCGAATCCATTGAAACAATTTCTTCATATCTGTCATTGATAAAATTACCAAAGTGTAAAAAATCAAAACTATCGATCGTTAATTCATCGCTTTTTGATTTTGGTAAATTATCGAAAATACTCTCGAATGAATCTTTAAAGTTTCCCTTTATTGTTTCCCGTATTTTCGAAAAATACCAACGTTGATCGTCTCGATCAGTGATACGATCGGTGAATACTCGGAGAATTTCGTGTGACCAGAGGCGAATGAAAGTTATTTTTGTCTCCACCGATTCCTTTTGAACAATACTCAGAGCGCGAATTATTTTCGAAATATCCTTGAGAGTAAAAATGTATTGTAATTTTTCGGGAATTGGTTTTAAAGTCTGTTTAATGGAGAAATAGAAATCGATCGTTGAAGTTATAATTCCGTTGAGAATTGGCATCACGTCGGTTGTGAAGGAATTTTTTCGTAAATTCAAAAATAGTTGATTTGTAAATACACGGAATATGGATTCTTTCGAGGGTAAGTGCATCACGAAAATTGAAAAGTGCCTCAAGAAACGTCGACACAATTTTTCGTCACAATTTTTATTCATTTCGATCACAAAATTCATATTGCGAATGAAAATTTTCCTATCCTCTTGATACCAGAAAGCATAATCGAAAAATTGTCTTATTATCTCTAGTGGTGAATCGGAAAGTTTTGAAAAATGGTCCGAATTGAAATTATCGATAAAATTGAAAGATGAATTTTCCGAACCGTATAAGTCACTTTTTTGTTTTGTTAATTTCGATAAAAAGAGTCTTTGTGCCTTTTGTCCGGTCATTCTAGAGGTGAAATGAAAATTGAATACATTTTCTAATTTTGTGAATAAATCCTTGAGAAGGGAACTTTTTCCCACTGAATCCTCGCTGAAGAGAATAAAACTTTTTTTTTGTTTCAGAAACTTTTCGAATAGGAGGGAATACTTTATTGTGTCGACAGTTGGAATGAAGATCTCCCCAAAGGGCAAATCGGAAATTTTTTCATTCTTCATGAGATCGGAACAATGTTTCCAATTTCCGGTTCCTTTGAAAATATAAACATAGTCTGTCAAGAGACCTTCGGTTGGTAGTGACATTTCGTTTTGCTTCAAAAATTGAGGACGTGATTCATTCGACGAATTCCATAAGTTTAGAAAGAAGGAATTGAATAAACGAAGGGTTGTTGTGTCTAAAATTCCGCCCAAGGACCAAATGGTACTGATTATAAAAATTGCTTGCACCCAGAAATTCAAATATTCTTGTTTTCCGGATTCGAAATAATTCTCCCCCTTGAGGAGTATGAGAAAAAGGGTAAAATTCGATCGTAACAGATGTTGACGATTTATTTTTATTTTCATCTCGCAGTGCTTTTCTATAAAATCGAAACTTTTGTCAATTGTGAAATCGAAGAGTGAATAGATAACAATTTTATAATTTGGAAAATTGAGCGTTTGTAAATTGTCAATTTCTGTTTTTAGATAATTTCGCCAATTCTCGTTGGGTTTGGTAATGATTCCAAAGTGGGAGACAACTAAAGGCGAAACTTGGTTTAAATCTTTGGTTTCGATGATAATTTTCCTGCGTTCGGTTCTTAATTTTTCGCCCGAATTCAAAATCGCCCGATTGTCTAGAATTGAGTAGAGATTTTCGATCCATTCGCCAATTGCGCCGTCGAAAATGATCCATTTTTGAAAATCTTCGTCTTCTTTTTGGCGAAATATTTTTAGAAATATACCTTTTTCAATTCCCTCCTCGATTTCTTTGGTAGAATTATAACCATACAAAAGATCTAGAGTAACAGCATTTGGATTTATCCAATCTGCCGAAATTTTATTTTTTTGCTTTTGTAGAATTTCGAGAAGAAGTTTTATTATTGTTGACTTTCCGGCTAGAGGTTCGCCGATTATTACTATACCGTCGTGTACGTGAAGCATTTCGAAAAATTGGATTATTTTCAATTTGATATTTTCGCAACTTTCTGTAATTTCGTATTTTTTCGAACATTCATCAAAAGTGGATAAAAAATTGTCGAGATTGGGATTTGGGAGGGAAATATCAGGGAAGAGGTCTTTGAGAATTCCTTCGAAGATAATTATTTCGTTTTCGGTAAACTTTGAGATATTCACGTCAATAAGAGCGCGGAGAATCAAAATATTTTCCTCTTCACTCGGATATTGTTGTTTCAAAGAATTTGTTAATTTTAGAAAAATTTTCATTGTTCTCAGATCGTGACGATGCGGTAACAATTCGGAGGTGAATTGATAGACTTTTTTTATCTTCAAGGCAAGTTGGTCGGATTTTTGAAAACCTGAGGATTGTAAATTTACCCGACAGATTTGATTCAAGTCCGGTAGTAACATTGCAATTGTTCGAAAACGATATTTTAGGGTTTCGGGTAAATTTTCGACGGTGTTCGAATTCAAAATTATTGTGATGAAACAATTTTTGTTGAACTTCAATTCCATTGAGTCGAAATTAATAATTTTGTTTGTCCTCGATTCGGAAATGGTGACAATTTTCTTTGATAGTACAGACAATATTCCGGGATTTATACGATCGTAATTTTTCATACAAATCCAGGCGCCGCATAAAATTAGACCTTTGAGAATTCTGTCGATAAATTCAAGAGATAATTTATCATTTCCGTTGTAAATGTGAAATGGAAGGGCGAAAATTTTTGCTAAATTTATTACAGTTTCGGTTTTTCCGGTACCAGACGGTCCGATGATTGCGGCGAAATATTGATAATTAAAAGCTTCCATTATTGTCCGGTAGCATTTTTCAGTTAACGGAGTGTTCACTATCGAGAATTGATTATTATATTCGTAGCCATAATTTATCGAAGAGTTCATTATAGCAACTTGAAGTAAATTATCATTCAAGTAGTGACGTATTTGTCCCTTCCAATTGAAATTATTTTTCGATTCCACCTTCTTCGCAATCAGCATTTCAATAATTTGGTTTTGATAGATTTGAACGCTTAACAATGATGACAAATTTCGCCTCTTTAATTTTGTTTGGCAATTTTTTAATTGGTCCAAGTTTTTCGAAATTACTTCCCTTCCGTTTTTTTGCACCGTCGTTACAATTGATCCATTGTCGAAACTATTTTCAACTAACTTCGTCCAATGAATTTGACAACAACAATTGATAATCATTGAGGGATTTTGAAAAATATTTTCCTCGTGAAAATTTTCGTTCAGTTGTAGTAATTTCGATTTTAAAATTTTGAGAATTTTTTCCTCCAATTCGTTTAGCCAGCCACCTGTGGAATTCACGATCACTGGGTCGAAACGCACTTTTTCGTTGAAGTCACCAATTAGAAATTTAATTCGAAAGGAATTTGTTATGTGAAAATTTTTCACGCCTGGAAAACATTTTGCTAATTGAAGACCAAATTGTTTGGGACTTTTTTTCTGAAAGAGAATTTTTAGTATTTCATCATCGGAGGTGAAGAAAAATCTTGGAAAAGCAAATCTTTGTTGTTCCAAATATTCCTTGATGCCAGCTTGTATTATTTTTAAACTGCCAAAATTTTCGTCGAGATTTTTTATTATTTCGGAATTTTTTCCAATTTTAGCGAAAGTCAATTCTTTGTTTTCGAGTAATGCGAGGAGGGATTCTTGTAATTTTTCGAAGAGAATTAATTCTTTGGGTAAATTTTCAGCAGCTTGAGAATTCGAAAATAATGGTTGATATTTTTTTGTTAATTCCTGAACACAGTGCCATTTTTGGATAAAAGTTTTCAAACGAAATAAAACTGTTTCTAACTCGAGAACACGATTTTCGGCCGGTTTGATGAAATAAGAACCACGAATATTGTGTATTTTGGAAAAATGTTCGTCAAGTAGTAATTCGATAGTCTCCGATTCTTTGAAATGGAAAATTTCGTTTGTTTCGCTAATTTCGAAATTTATCGACTCCCATTTTTTGAACATATTTTCGATTTGATTCTGCAGAGCCAATTCCTTATTCGCGCCTGTGCTTATTACCTGAAAGTGAAAATTTACCTTTTTTAGTAAATAAAAAAAATAATTAGTAAAAAAGTAATCTATATTAATAATCGCTGTAATTTTTTAGGAATTTTTTTTGAAATAATGGAGATTTTCTAATAATTTTAATTGATAATTAAATTCTATTCAGAGTTTTATTCCAATTTTTTAAAATAATTTAATTAATACCAGAAATTTCATGTTTTTTGAATGTTTTAAAAATAATTGAATTTTTTTTAACACAAATTAACATTTTAAAATAATCTTGTTTGGCAATAATTAAAATTAGGAATTTGATTATTGAAGAATTTCTTAAAAATTGTATTAAAAATAATTTAATTTCTGATCAGAATTTTATTATTTATAAAAATAATTTAATTTTGCGAAGCATTTTAGCAATTTACAAAAATAATTGAATTGTTTCGAAGGATTTATTAAAATTTTAGAAAATAGGTAATTGAATGCTTTCGAAAAAATGTATTAAACATTTTTAAAAAATAATTGAATCTTCTCGTGAATTTTTATAAAAATTGTATTGAAAATAATTGAAGTCCTGCAAAAAATTTACTGTTTATAAAAATAATTGAATTTTTGCAATGAATTTTTTAAAAATAATTTATTAAAATTTTAAAAAATAATAGAATATTTTGGAAAAATATTATTAAAAATTTTTTAAAAATTGAATTCTTTCATGAAATTTTATTAAAATTGTATTAAAAATAATAGAATTTTTGCAAATAATTTTACTATTTACAAATATAATTGAATTTTTTCGAAAAATATTGTTAAAAATAAAAAAAAAATTGAATTCTTTCATAAAATTTTATTAAAATTGTATTAGGTAAAAATAATTGAATTTTTGCAAAAAAATTTAATATTTATAAATATAATTGAATTTTTTCGAAGGATTTTTAAAAATTTTTTTAAATAATTGAATTCATGAGAAGAATTTTCTTATTACGAAAATAATTGGATTATTGAGAAAATTTTTATTAAAATAGTATTAAAGTAATTGAATTTATGCAAAAAACTTTACTATTTATAAATATAATTTAATTGAATTTATTAAAAATTGAATTCTTTCGTGATTTTTTTTTAATAATTGAATTTTTGCAAAGATTTTACTATTTAAAAAAATAATTGAATTGTTTCGAAGGATTTATTAAAATTTAAGAAAATAATTGAATTTCTTGGAAATATTTTATAATGAATTAAGAAAAAAATTGAATTCTTTCGTGAAACTTTTTTTGAAAATAATTGAATGTTTGCAAAGATTTTATAAGGAATAATTCCTTATTCTTAATTGTTAAAAACAAAATTGAATTCTTTCGTGATTTTTTTAAAATAATTTAATTTTTGCAAAGATTTTACTATTTAAAAAAATAATTGAATTGTTTCGAAGAAATTATTAAAAAAAAAATTTTTAATTGAATTTTTTTATTAAATGCTATTAAAATTGTATTAAAAATAATTGAATTTTTGTAAATAATTTTACTGTTATTTATAAATAAAAGTGGAATTGTTTCGAAGGATTTATTAAAATTTAAGAAAATAATTGAATTTTTGCAAAGATTTTATAACGAATTAAGAAAAAAATTGAATTCTTTCGTGAAATTCTTTAGAAAATTATTGAAATTTTACAAAGATTTTACTATATTTAAAAAAATAATTGAATTGTTTTGAAGATATTATTAAAAATATTTTTAGAATTGAATTATTTTATGAAATGTTATTAAAATTGTATTAAAAATAATTAAATTTTTGTAAATAATTTTACTATTATTTATAAATAAAAATGGAATTGTTTCGAAGGATTTATTAAAATTTTATAAAATAATTGTATTCGTTCCTGAAATTTTATTAAAATTTTGTTTAAAAATCATTGAAGTTTTGCAAAAAATTGTACCTTTTATAAAAATAATTGAATTCTTACGAAGAATGTTATTATTTATGAAACAAATTGAATTCTTCCAAAGAATTATTATATTTTTTGAAATTAATAAATAAGAATAATTAATTAGTAAACTAATTAATAATTGAATCTTTTTAAAGTTTGAATTTGAAATTATTAAAAAATTTTCATATTTGAAAATAAAAAATTTTGTAATTTGCATAATACATAATAATAATAAATTGAATATTACATTCTGCGAGCGTAACATTTGCTAGTTTAAATATTAATTAGCAAAAGAAATAATTTATGTTACCTGAAAAATTTCGATGTGTTTCATTAAATCAAGTTGAATGAATTTTTCCAGAGTCGTTCCAGCGTTTGGCAATAGATTACAACCCGAAACTGTGGACATTTCATTCCAGTGACGTTTTCTCAGCGCCGAATTACAAAAGCAAATGGCAAGTGGTACGAAATTGAGAAAATTTTCAATTGTCTTGAGAATTTGCCAGCATAATTTTAAAGGCGCTGGCTGTTGCATTGCATCTGGATCGTCGACAATACCTGAAAATTTAAAAGCCTTATTGGCAGTGACATCCATTTTGATTTTTGATTTAAACATTTTATTGCTCTCGATAATTTTCTGATGATAGAACTGTGTTTTTTTCTCAATCACCTCGGCGTTGAGATATTCAAAAGGTCCTTTCAGCCACACATCGTGATCGCGTTGCCATTCGCAAATTAAATCAACAAGTATTGAAAATGGCTCGATTATTTCACGTAATTCACTATCTTTTGGGAACATTGTCTCGGGAAATTTAAACAATCTCTCCTCAAAATTAATTCGCGATATTTTCATCTCAATTTGATGCATTTTAGCCAAAAGAGATTTTAAATACTGTCGATAATTTTGCACTCCCATTGCATCGTCCATATCGTCAAGAATTACAAAGTCAGGAATTAGAATGTCAATTTCGGTGTTTAGAATTGTTATCTGCTGTTGGAGTTCGTCTTCGGATTCGCTTTTCATAGCTTCTGATAATGTATTACTTTGAATGAAAATTGGCTTTATTGCTTCGAGCCAATTGATATTTTGTTTATTTAAATTTATGTGATGATCGGTGAGAAGTGTTATTTCAAGAAGTGACGAGAGTTGTTGAATTGAGAGAATAACACGTTTTTCTAAATCTATCACCAATTCTTTTGCACCATGTGTCATGTATTCGCTTAATTCGAACAATGAATTCGCATCTTTTGGAATGTTTAGTGCTCGAATTTTTAAATTTTCAAATTCGAAGCAAATATTTTCGGCCTCTTTAAAATGAAATTCGGTGAGATAATCCAAGAGGATATTTTTCAATTCCTGAGTTTTGCTTTTTAAAATTTCCCTAGCTGGCAATTGATTTAGAATTCCCGTGTTGTAGTAGAATTTCGAAATCATTCCATTCACTTCGCTTTGATACTTTAAATAAATTTTCACCTGTAAAAAGGTTTTTTTTAAACTAATTTTCGACATTTAATAAAATTTTCACAGGAATTCAATTCATTTAGAATAATTTTAAAAAATTTCGAAAAAATCAATTATTTAACAAAATTTTTACACAATTCTTCACAATAATTCAATTACTTTCACTACTAATAACATTTTTCATGGAAATTCAATTTTTTAAAAAAATGTTTGATAAAATTCTAAGCAAGAATTCAATTATTTTCATAAATAATAAAATTTATCGTCGGATTTCAATTATTTTTAATACAATTTTACATGAATTGCCCAAAAAATGTAATTATTCTTAAAAATTGAATTTAAATTCCTCGAAAAAATCAATTATTTAAAAATATTAAATTAAAAAAAATCCTTTGGGAGAATTCAATTATTTACAAAAATATTAGAATTTTTCACAGAAATTCAATTATTTTAAAAAATTCTAAAAAAATCGTTCTCAAGAATTCAATTTATTGTCTAAAATTTTAATTCAATTCTTTGCAAAAAATTTTTTTTCTATAAGCTTTTCGCAATTCAATAATTTTCAAATATCAACTATTTTCATAAAATTTCCAAACCGAATTCAATTATTTAAAAAAATTTTTGTAAAAATCTTCGTAAGAATTCAATTCTTTTCATGAATAACAAATATTTCTCAGGAATTATTTTAAATTTAATTTTAATCAAATTTTTTTGAAATAATTAATTTATTCTTTAAGATTTTAATAAAATTCTTTTGCAAAATTCAATTATTTTCAATAAAATTTCAAGAAAGAATTCAATTTTTGTTAATTCTTGATAAAATTTTTCAATGGAATTCAATATTAATTTCTTAATTCTCTATAAAATTTTTGAAATTAATTCAATTATTTTAAAAAAAAGTAAAATTCTTTGCAAAAATTCTATTATTTTTATAAATAATAAAATTCATCGCAGGATTTCAATTATTTTTACTACAATTTTACAGGGATTGATCAAAATATTAAACTTCAATTCTTTCTAAAAATCAATTATTTAAAGAATGTTTTTTTAAATTCTTTGGAATAATTCAATTATTTACATAAATATTAGAATTTTTCACAGGAATTCAATTATTTTCAAATATTTTAATAAAATTGTTCGAACGAAAACAATTATTTTAAATACAATTTTAATTAAATATTTTTGATATTCAATGATTTTCAGGTATTTTAATAAAATTTTTTGAAAAATTCAATTATTTCCATAAATAACAACATTCATCACAAGAATTTTATTATTTTTAAAAGTAATGAATTTTTTTTGGAAATTCAATTATTTTGAAAAATTGTAATAAAATCGTTCGCAAGAATTCAATTATTTTCTTAAATTTAATAAAATGCTTTTTAGGAATACAATTATTTTCAAAAAAATTTATTAAAATGCCACAAAGACTTTCAATTATTCTTAAAAATTTTAATAGAATTATTTGTTAAATTAAATTTTTTTTATTTAAAAAATTTTTTGTAAAAATCTTTGTGAGAATTCAGTTCTTTTCATGAATAATAAAAATTCCTTATAGATACAATTATTTAAATTAGATTTTGCATAAAATTCAGGGTGGCCACATGTCAGTAAAGTCAGTAAAGTCAGGGAAATGTCAGGGAAAAAAATATTTTGTCAGTAAAGCCAGGGAAATGTGAGGAAAAATTTTTTTGTCAGGGCAATTAAAGAAATTAAGACGGTCATGCAATACATTTTTTGCTCTAAACAAAAAAATTTTTGTCAGGGAAATTCGTTGTTATGTCAGTAAAATGTCAGGGAAATTGATAAAGTCAATCTTGCGGCCACCCTGAAAATTAGTCGAAAGAAATCAATTATTTTAAAATTTTTATAAAATTCTTAAGAAAGAATTAAATTATTTTCATAAATATTTAAATTCTTTCATGAATAATGAAATTCGTTGCAGGAATTCAATTTATTAGGAGGATAAGAAAGAAAGAAATATTTTTAATGAAAATTAGAAAATTAGAATTAGAATCAGAAATTAGAAAAATTATAATTTTTTTGATAGTCAAATTTAATTTTTCGATAGTTTTTTACCACTTTTTTTTAAGTTTTAAAGCTACTTTTTGCTACTTTTTAAAAATTAATTATTGAGTGCAAAGTCTGTAAATTACGAAATTATAAAAAGGGAAAAAATATTTACCTGCGAGCAATATGTTTCAAATTCCCGATTCTCGGAAATTAGTTTCAAAACTCCATCCCTTGTTTCTGGTTGGCAAATTTGTTGAAATTGTAAATTTACGTGATAGTGATATTCCTGGAGAATTTGAAAAATATTTTCCAAAACGAAATCCAAATTAGTGTGCGATTCATTAAGGAACCATTCCGGTAAATTTATGTTAATAAATTCTTTCTTTGTTTTTATTCGAAAATAATATTCAAAAGGAACAAGATCTGTATTTATCAAAGAAAGATTAGTAATTATCTCGTGAAATGTAAGACAAATTTCCAAAATATTCGGTTTTAGGACCAAATTATTATTTTCAAATACTAAATCCAATTTTAGTAATGGACACGTCAGGGGATTTTTAATCGAATTTATCAAATGATTAATAGTATTCATTTTGATATTTAAAATTTGTTGGGAAAATAAATGAGTCGCACAGTTAATAATACGTGAGAGTTGATTTTGTTGATTTTTCTTCAATAATTTCGGTAGTACTTTTATTATTAAATTATAATAATGACTGAGAATTTTTAACGAAGCTTTCTTAATGTCGTTATTTATTTTTTTGTTGAATTCAATTAATTCTAAATATCCCCTGTCTCGGTAATCGTTGAAATTTAGAAATAATTTTGGAAGATTGAAAAAAGCGGTTTTTATTATAAATCTCACGAGTGAATGAGAGAGGAAATATTTTTTCATCAGTAATGAACGATTTTTGTGAAACGATTCATTTTTTAGGGATAAAATTTCCTTTTTTTGTATAAATTCAAAGTTTTGTGGATATTCTTCATTTTCGAAAATTAAAATTCTTTTTATTGTAAATATTTGCATTTGTTCGAAATAATTTTTTCGAATTTCACACATTAATTCAGTAAATATACAATCGTACTTGTTTTTAAATAATTTCTCGACGGATTTTTTGATATTTTTCTCCCATTCGGGTGAAAGTCCTTCGATTGGAATATCCTTTAATAAGGTTTTGAATTTTTCTAAATACACAATTGTTTCCATTTCATTATTTGGTTCTTCTTTTTTTTCATTTTCTTTATCTTCGTCTTCCTCCTCTTCTGAATTCGAATTTGAAAATTCTTTCTCGTCTTGTGGTAAATTTAATATTTGTTGTTTATTTTTTTCATGACAAAGTTCGGAAAGTTTTTGTTTTAAAGGATTTTTTAGAATTTCATGTATTTTTCCCTCCATTGTTGAAATGAACGGCACTGAATTCAATTCTCGTGTTTTGTCGATATCCAAGGAAACATAATTGAAATACGATTTCTATTTTATTAAATATATTTTTATTCATTATTTGTTTACAATAATTTATTTATACATTTTTTATTTGAATTAATTTTATTTATTATTAAATATTTACATATTCATTTTTATTATTTATTTATTAATTTATTATTTATTTATTAATTAATTTATTTATTAATTAATTTATTTATTAATTTAATTTAATTTGTTAATTCAAATTATTTGAAGTCTTTTTTTATTTCAGGTTTTTTCTGAGTCTTTGAATCAATAAAAAAAACAAAATGAGTAATATTTATATTCAAGAACCACCCACTACGGGAAAAGTAAGTACTTGAGGAAGTTAATTAAATTCAGAAAATCTAAATTATTGGAATTAGCTTAAAATAAGGGAATAATTTGTAAAAAAAAATAAAATTAATTTTTTAGGTGATGATGAAGACTTCGATTGGCGACATTGACATTGAATTGTGGACAAAAGAAGCGCCAAAAGCGTGTCGAAATTTTATTAAATTGTGCTACGATAATTACTATAATAATACAATTTTTCATCGAATTGTAAAAGATTTTATTGTCCAAGGTGGCGATCCATTAGGAACCGGAGAAGGAGGTGAAAGTATTTATGGACGTCCTTTTAAGGTAATAATTTATTAATAAATTTAATTACTCAAAGGTAATTAAATATTTAATTTGTTTCCTCCAAAAGAATTAAATATTTAATTTATTTACTTCAAAGTAATTGAATATTTAATTTATTTACTTCAAAATAATTAACAACCATCGCACTTATCTACTAAAACCTACTATTTACGACTTTTTTTAGAATTTTCACTACTTTAAATTCGCTAATACTAGAAATCAAAAAACTATTCTCAAAAATTATAATCAAATTCTTTAAAACGATTCAATTATTTTCAAAAAATATTCGAAATTCAATTATTTTCAATATTTTGTGTTTTTACATAATTTCGCAAAAGAATTCAATTATTAAAAAAATTCAATTATTTTCATAAATAATAAAATTTATCGTAGGATTTAAATTCAATTCTTAAAAATTGCTTTTTCTTAAATCCCTGGGAAGAATTCAATTATTTACAAAAATATTAGACTTTTTCACAGAAATTCAATTATTTTCAAATATTTTAATAAAATTGTTAGAAAAAAATCAATTATTTTAAATACAAATTTAATTAAATTTTTTTGAAATAAATCAATTATTCTTTTAGATTTTAATAAATTTCTTCCCGAGAATTCAATTATTTACATAAATAATTCTTCTAAAGAATTCCATTATGCATGTCGATAAATAACAAAATTATAACCGAAAATTGAATGATTTAACAAAGAATTTTTTAAAAAACTTTTGAGAACAATTGAATTATTTAGAAAAATTTTATTACAATTTTTAAAAATTATTTAAATTATTTTTAATACTATTTTAAATTAATTAATTGAAAAATTCAATTATTTTCACAAATAAAGTTTTCACAAGAATGCAATTATTTAAAATAAAATTTTCATAATATTTATTATATTTCGAAAGATATACTTTTTTAAAATTAATAATCGATTGCGAAGTCTGAATAAAATATTTAATTTATTTTCTTCAAAATAATTAAATACTTAATTTCTAAAGTTAATTTTTATTATTTATTATTAATATTCTTAAATTTTTATTCTTTTTTCATTGCAGGATGAATTTCACTCGAGATTACGATTTTGCCGTCGTGGTTTGGTTGCAATGGCGAATGCAGGAAAGGACGATAATGGATCACAATTTTTTTTCACTCTTTCCGCAACACCTGAATTGCAAAATAAACACACAATTTTCGGTAAAGTCACAGGAGAGACTTTATATAATGTTCTAAAATTCGAGGAATGTCTCATTGATAAAGTAAGTTTCCTCATTTGGAAAGACTCATTTTTTTTGTAATTTATATCAAGGATATACGTAGTAAATAATCTAATTGGAAAATTTACATTAAATTTAATATCTTTTTCTTTTTTTAAGGATGACAGGCCAGTTTATCCTCCGAAAATTTTGAAAACACAAGTTTTGACTAATCCGTTTGAAGATATTGTGCCAAGTGAGACGACGAAGGAAATTGACGAGGAGAAAGAGAGGGAGAAGGAGAAGAGGAAAAAGAAGAAGAAAGGAGTGAAGTAAATAATAAAAATATACTATTTATTTTAATAAATATAAAAATTAATATCTTTTTCTTTTTTAAAGGATGACAGGCCAGTTTATCCTTCGAAAATTTTGAAAACACAAGTTTTTTTTTATTATTTTATATTGAATTAAATAAATTAATAATTATTAATTTAGTTAATTAATTAAAAATTTTATTTTTATAATTTTATTCATCAATTAAATGTATTTATTCTAGTCTTTAATTTAATCGATTGTTTAATTTCAGGGATTTTAAGCTTCTTTCATTTGGCGAGGAAGCCGAGGAGGATGAGGAGGAATTTAAGGAATTGAACAAGAAATTCAGTGGGAAAAGTAAATCGGCTCATGACGTTTTGGATGATCCAAAACTAAGTTCAGAACCGGCTTTAGAACAAGCAAGTTCCTCAAGTAAAAAGCGAAAAAATAGTGACAGCGACGATGAAAGCAATGAAGAAACGCCCGAAGATCTTCAAAAACGACGGTGATTTTTTTCTTTCCTAACAATTAATTATTATTCTCTTAAAATTATTGTTTTTAAATATTTTTTTTTCTTTTCATTCCAGGGAAATGAGTGAGAGAGTAATAGAAAAATTAAAAAGCGGGAAAAAAGCGACCAGTTCGAAAAAAATAAAATCTGTCGACGAGGAAGAAAATGAAGAAGAGGACGACGAAGATAAATATTATTTGGGAAAAGATCACGCTGATGAAAGAAAACGAATGGCGTATGTATCGAATAACAATTAATTCAGTATTAGATTAGATTAAAACTATAAAGGACTTGTTATTTTTAGCGAATCGATAAAAAAGGAAATTCGTGATCTCAAACGTGGAATTCAGAAGACAAAGAAGAGTGAGGAGGAAGCTGCGAAAAAAGAGAAGGAGGCTGCCGAGAGGGAGAAAGAAATAAATAGTGAAAAAGAGGAACGCGAGGAGATAAAAAAGAAATTAAGGGAGCAACAAAAGAAGAATAAAGCGGAGAGAAGTAATTTTTTTTTTCGAAATTGAATTCTATTTCAATTTCATAATTTTATTTCCCACTTTGATTAATTTTTTGCACAACTTTTAATTCAATTTCATCAATTTCAAATTTAATTTCAAATTGATGCCTGAATTTTATTTTCTAATTGAATTAGATCAATTTTTGCAATTTAAGTTTTGAATTTTTCTTTTGAATTTCATTTTTAGATGACGATTTCATAATGCAAAAATTGAATAAATTTCGAAACAAAATACACGCGATGAAAGAGCAATGTGGCGTGGATTCAGAAAAATCGGAGGCAAAGCCAACAAATGACAATGACGACGAAGTGATTGATGAAACAATTTTAGCACATTCGCTTCATTGCGAGGACAAAAATCCCGTCTTGGCGAGAGACGCAAATTTAAAAGACGACGATTGGTTTGAAATTTATGATCCAAGGAATCCGATTAATAAACGACGACGAGGGGAAACAACGAGGAAGGGCGAGAACAGTGATCGCGGCAAAAATCGACCGCCACGAACATAAAAGGTAATAATAATATTAATTTTCTCCCCTTTTTGAGAATTATCAAATTAATGTAAAACAAGATTATTATCAATAATTTTATTAATTATACTATTAAGTATTAATAACTAGAACACATTTTTTTAAAACTATTTTTCACTTTCTGACAGTTTTTTGTTGCCAAAAACATTGATTTTTGAATGAAAACGAAATTTATTTTTTCCATTCGAGAATATAAAGTAATCGCTTTCAATTGAATGTAAAATTAATTTATATTTACATTGAAATTTTTTTCTTATATATAATTATTATATTTAAAATCGTTACCGACGAGCAAAATTTTTACTCATATCGTGACTTGAACGTTGAATTGTATTTTTTCTCGATTTCACTCGAGACTCCAATGTTCCTAATTCAACAGCCGCGGCCAATTGTTTTCTGAAACAAAAAAGAAATATTGCAAGATTAATTTTTTTATTTTTCTCTCGGAGAATTTTCTTTAGAAAAATTCTCAAATTTTTCATTTTTCTCAGAAAATTACCAATTGTTAATTTTTTTTCAGAAAAATTTAATTTGATAATAATTAATAATAATCTATATTAATTAATAATCGTTGTATTCCGGCAAATTGTTTGCAGTTTAAAGTTAATTTTTGTTTGCTTCTTTGTTTCTAAACTTTTTCAATTTTTCGTTTTCAATAATTTAAAAATTTAATGTACTGAAAATCATTGAAATCTTACAAAAGATTTATTAAAAATTTTGAAAATAATTTTGAAAATAATTTTGAAATTTACAAAGAATTTTAACGAAAACTTTCGAGAATAATTAAATTTTTGAGAAAAATTCTATTACAATTTTTATAAAAATAAGTAATTAAATTGTATCGAAGAATTTTATCAGAATTTTTGAAAATAATTGCATTCAATCAAACATTTTATTAAAACGTTTAAAAATTTTATTATAACTGTTGAAAATAATTGAATTTCTTCGAACTTTTTATTATTTATGAAAATAATTAAATTCCTTTGAAGAGTTTGATTATTTATGAGAATAATCTAATTACATTTTTCGAAAGAATTTTGCTATTTAAGAAAATAATTGAATTCCTCCAAAATTTTTTTTCAAAATTGTTGAAAATAATTGAATTTAATTGATATTTTTAAAAATAATTGTATTTTTTCGAGAAATTTAATTTAAATTGTATTGATAAATACTTGTAAAGTATTTATCAAAAAATTTGTAAGTAATTCAATTTTATGAAGAATTCAATTATTTTTAATAATTTTAATAAAATTCTTTAGTCATCTTGTAAATAATAAAAATTTTCGTAAAAAATTCAATTATTTTTATTTCATTATTAAAATTCCTATCGGGATTTAACTTATTTTTAATTCCATTTTTAAATTATATCTTTGAAAATTTCAATTACTTTTAAAAATCTTGTAAAAATTATACGAGAAAATTCAATTATTTCAAAAAATTAATTGAATTTTTTACAGAAGTTCAATTATTTTTTAACATTTTTTTAAAATTCTTCGAAAGAATTCAATAATATTAATAAATAGTACATTTTTCCCAAGAATTAAATTTTGTTGAATACAATTTAAAAAAAATTCTTCTCAGAAATACAATTATTTTTTTAAATTTAAAAAAGTTTTAATAAAATTCTATTCAAGAATCAAATTATTTTCAGAAATAATTAAATAGTTTATTTTAATTGTATTAAAAAATTGAAATCCTCCGAAAAATTCTATCATTTATGAAAATAATTTAATTCCTTTTGTAAAATTTTTTTATTTATGAAAATATTTTAATTCTTGCGAAGAATTTTCTTAGATATTTATGAAAATAATTGAATTCTTGCGGAGGATTTTACAATTCATAAAAATAATTGAATTTCTTCGAAGAATTTCATCTTAATTTTTGAAAATAATTAAATTTTTTGAATGAATTTTATTAAAAATTTTGAAAATAATGTTTTTTTTTAAAAAAGAATTTTATCAAAATTGTTGAAAATAATTGAATTTATATTAAAATTCTTGAAAATAATCGAATTTAATTAATTTTTTTTAAAATAATTGTATTCTTTCGAGAAATTTTATTAAATTTGTATTGAAAATTATTGAATTCTTGTTTAGAATTTTTGAATCTGTAATATTGAAAAATTTAAATTGATTAATTAATTAATCAATTTAAATATTTGAAAATATTTTTTAATTTATAAAATAATAATAAATGAAATACCGCGTTTCCCGCGCAGTCGTGCGTATCATTTGCTAGTAATTACAAATTTAATTTGATACTTAATTGAAATGAAAAGAAAAAAGTAAATTTTGATACTTAATCAAAATAAAAAGCAAAAAGTAAATATTTCACATTAAAAATTTGAAATTCTCACCTGACAAAATCTTTGCTATACGATTTCTTATTTTCCTCCTCGTGTTTCAATTCCTCCATTTGTCGGCGTATTTTTTCCTCGCGATCTTTTTCGCGCCACGTCGCATTCTCCATCATTTCGAGACGACGTTTCTCTTTTTCTTCTTCGGTGAGTTTTTGCCGTTTCGGCGGAATCCATCGTTTCTCATTTTTCTCTTCATTTTTCGTCGTTCTCATTCTCTGAGGTGAATAACTTCGTGGATTTATAGCCATTTTGGTTCCATCCGCTTTCTGAAATACGAGAAAAAATGCAATGAAAAAAAGAAATTACTAATAAGAATAATAATAATAAAAATAATTAGTAAAAAATTACCATTAATCCGAAATTTGATCTCCCATTATTCAATTTTTGATTGTATCTTTTATCATAATCACTGTCAGACTCATGTTTTTCTATTTTGTGTTTTTTATTCCTTCGATCACATTCAGAATCGCTGGAATTGTTTTTTCTCAATTTTGAAGATTCAAATTCTTCCGATTCGTTTGAATTTCGTTTCTTGTGTTTCTTTGATGAATCGATAATTTCGTCTCTTCGTTTCTTACTTTTTTTCTCCTTCTCCGAATCACTATTTTCTCGTCTTTTCGTTCTCTTGTGTTTTCTACTTCTACTTTCTGAATCGCTACTCTCGTCTCGTTTTTTCCTTCTATCCATTTTCTTCTCTTTTCTCCGCGATTTTCTCTCTGTCTCACTTTCCGAACTATCGTCAGAACTTGAATCTCGTGATTTTTTCTTTCTTCGATCGAATTTCTTTCTCTCCTTTCTTTCCGATTCGGAACTTTCATCTGAATCTCGTTTTTTCATTTTTCTTTGTAATCTTTTCATCTCTTTTCTTTTCGAAATTTCTGAATTGACAGAAGAATCTGAATCTCTTTGTTTTTTTGTTTTTCTTTGCTTTTTCCTTCTCTCTTTTCTTGACGACGATCTTTCTGAACTGTCAGAATCGGAATTTTTCCTATTTTTCCCTCTTCTCTCGATTTTTTTCTTCTTTCCGCGTGATTTTCTCGATTCACTGTCACTAGTTTCCGTATCTGAGTCTTTGGGTTTTTTTAATCTTTTCTCTTTTTTCTTCGAGCGTTTATTTGAGTCATTCTCTGAATCTGTATCAGAATCAGAATCTGAATCGGAATCAGAATCTGAATCACTGGATGAATCTTTTCGTTTCTGTCTTCTTTCGTACTTTTTCCTCTTTTTTACAGATTTCATTAAATCTTCCTCTGATATTTTATCCTTTAATTTTTTGTACTTTTCAGCTAGTAAATTATCCAATTCTTTGTCACTGTCCGATTCGGAATCACTTCTTTGCCTTTTAGATTTCTTCGATTTTTTCTCCTTCTTCTTTTTTGTTTCCGCCTCCAACTGTGAAAAGGTGAAGAATTTTCTTTATTTTTTAAATTCTATTTTTAAGTAGATGGAAAATATTTTATTTTAATTTACCAATTGTTTGATTTGTTTCATTTTGACGGGATTTTTCAATAATTGCGAACGAGTTTCCATTTCTTTTTTCTTGATTAGAAATAAAGGATCTTCTTGTTGTTTTCTTGCAAGGTCCACTTGTTCGGTTCCCGAAAAATATCGCAGAGATGGCGGTATACACTCTGGAAATATTAATTGTATGATTAAATAATTAAATTTAATTTCAATTTACATCTTAATTTCCTAAATATAATGTAATTTTTAATTAAATTAGTCAATCTATATTAATAATCGTTGAATTACAGTAATCCTAACTTTTGAAATAAATTTTCTTTTTAAATGTTTAAAATTATTTAAAAAAGTTTTAATAAAATTCAATTCAAGAATTCAATACTTTTAAATACAATTAATTTTAATTGAATTCCAGGGAAAATTAAATTATTTTTAAACATTTTTTTTAAATTCTTCGATAGAATTCAATAATATCAATAAATAGTAAATTTTTCACTTCTTTTCAACAATTTTATTAGAATTTTTGTAAATAATTACATTTTTTTTTAAGAATTTCATTAAATTTCGTAAAAATAATGTAATGTTTTAAAATAATTTTAATTGAAAATTTTGAAAATAATTGAAATTTACAAAGAATTTTTTAAGAAACTTTTGAGAACAATTGAATTATTTAGAAAAATTTTATTACAATTTTTAAAAATAATTGAATCTGTTAGGGAAATTTTATTAAAATTATCTTGAATATAATTGAATTTTTTCCTAGAAGTTTTATCAAAATTGTATATTGAAAATAATTGAATTTCTCCGAAACATTTTAATATTTATTAAAATAATTGAATTCTTCTGAAAGAATTTTATTGTCTATGTTAATATTTTAATTTTTGTGAAGAATTTTCTCATTTATAAAAATAATTAAATTCTTGCGGAGGATTTTACAATTCATAAAAATAATTTAATTGTTTAAAAAGAATTTTATCTGAATTTTTGAAAATAATTCAATTTTTTGAAGGAATTTTTTATTAAAAAAGATTTTGAAAGTAATGATTTTGAAAGAATGATTTAAAAGAATTTTTTTCTCTTACCATGTTCGACGTGATTTTTTGGAGCTCTATTTAAAGCTGCATCTTTCTCAGCCTGCACAATTTTCTCGAAATTCTGATCAATTTGTTTTCCCAATAAATATTCTTCACGATCAATCGTTTGATTTGGCTTCTTATACATCCAATCTAATTTTTTGTCATCTTTCTTTTCAATAGTCCCATGATCCATGGCAAATTTTGTCAATTCCTCGCGATCTTTTTCCATTTCAATTTCACGTTTCAATTCGGCTATTCTCTTTTTCTCTTGATTACTCATTTGCTCGGCTTTCCATACTTTTTCCATATTTTTCATCGTCGATGGATGCCATGATTTTTTCAAATTCTGGTGAAATAAATATTTAGTTATAAATCAAAACGATTTGATTTTTAGAGGAAAATAATTGATAAAAACAAATAAAAAAAGAAGTAATGTTTGGTTGCAATTAACAATGTCTAATCTTCAATTTTTGTCAGGAACTTGTAGTTTTTCAAAAGAAATTTAATTTAATAGTATAAAATTAAATTTTATTCAATTTAATTTAATTAATTTAATTTTATTTTAATTTATAATGAATTTATTTCATTTTATACAAGCAAAAAATTATTTTATAGGTTAGAAAAACTTACCAAATCTCCTCCCCCCATTTTAATGGATTAAATAATTAAGGGAAATTATTTAAATAGACACAGGCAATTTTTGCCTTAAATTTCCAAGAACTTTGTAAAATTGATATGTATGTTAATTGTCGTAATTAAAATAAATTCATTTTCAATATTTTTCGGAGCGTCGTAGCCAGTCGTAGCTGTCAAACCAGAAACGAACACTTTTGCGCGTGCGCTAAAAATTGACAGCAGCGCCATCTTTAATTTTGTGATCGATCACGTGGTTGTCATAAAATTTGTTCAATTTGTTTCATTTGTTTGTGGGGTTTGTGGAAATATTTATTAGTTTCTGGACTTTTACCCCCTTGAATCAATGTACAAGTAAGTAAAGGGATTTTTAATATTTTTCTAAAGTATTTAATTTCTAGTTAATAATTTACATACGCAAAATATTCTAAACTTGTCAATAGTGTTTCAAACTAATAGAAAACCTAACCTCAAAACTTTTTGAAAATATTTATAACATATATACGTTATTGTTTTTCTATAATCAATTTGTAAATAATTAATTAAGAATTCATTGTTTACAATTCGTTTCTCAATATTTATAACATTTTTTATTTATTCATTGTCGTTCATAACATTTTAAGTTTAATTTTTTTTCCATTTCTTTCGTTTATTCTGTTTTTGAACTATTTTTATTATTATTATTTATTATTTATTTCTTATTTTTATTATTATTATTACTTTTTTTAGCTTTTAAAAAATGGAGGAATTCATTGTGACTCGAGGAGCAAAAAATCCAAGTGTGGCATTAAAAAATTTTACAATAGTCAATTATGAAGCGCCAAAGAAAAAACAAAAATCATCGGAAATTAAATCTTCGTCGTCGTTAAAAATTATCGACAATTCTGTTGAGGAGAAAGACGATATGGATCCAAGACGAAAGCAAGAACTTGAAATGAAACGAGCGAGATTTGAGGTGATGAAATTTGGAATGTCCGGCTTAAAGAAGACAAAGGCGAAGGAGGCAAAAATTGCCTTGGCAATTAGTTTAGGAGCGAGACCGCCGAAGAATCGAAGGAGAAATTATAAGGAAATATTGAAGGAGAAGGAAATTGAAAAAATAAAGGAATCAAAACGAAAGACAAAGACATATTCAGGCGTTAATGACAGTTTAAAGAAACGAAAAACACGGAGAAAAGTGAAGAAGGATTCGGGAATATTGGGAGTTTATGGGACAGTTCGAAAGGAGTGATTTTTTAAGTAAGACATTTCGGAAAATGTTATTGTAAATATGAAAATAAATAATTAATAAAATATTTAAGTAATCATAAATCTATGGATTAGGACTTAGAAATTATTTAATCAATAATTTTACTTGAATATTTCAAAATTAATTGAATTTTAAGAGTTGCGTTTACAATTTTCTTAAAAAGATGAACTTCGAAAGGTTTTAATTTGAAATTTTAGAAAATTTCAATTTTGAATGAATTTAATTAGAAAGAACTTCGATTTTTGCAAAAAATTTTAATAATTTAAATTCTTCTGAAATTAATACAATTTTTTAATATATTAATTATTAAAAATAATTGATTTCTAGAAGAATTTTAGTTACAAACACTAAAGAAAAAAGTTGAATTTAGGACAAATTACAAATGATTGCAGAAATTCTATTATTTTCAAAAGTGGTAAAATTCTTCGCAGAAATTCAATTATTTTGATAAATAATAAAATTTTTTTTAGGAATACAATTATTTTCAGAAATAATAAAATATTTTCCAGGGATTCAATTATTTTCATAACTAATAAAATTCTTTTCAAGAATTCAATTATTTTCAGAAATAATAAAACTCATCGTAGAATTTCAATTATTTTTAATGCAATTTTAATTGAATTTCCAGGAAAAAATTCAATTATATTCAAGATAATTTTAATAAAATTTCTCTAACAGATTCAATTATTTTTAAAAATTGTAATAAAATTTTTCAAAATATTTCAACTGTTCTCAAAATTTAAAAAAAAAATTCTTTGTAAATTTCAATTATTTTCAAAATTTCCAATTAAAATTATTTTCAAAAATTACATTATTTTTACGAAATTTAATGAAATTCTTCAAAAAAAAAATGTAATTATTTACAAAATCTCAAAGAAAATTGTTTAAAAGAATTTAATTAAACTATTTACAATAAAATTTTTATTACATTTTCTCGAAATAATTCAATTGTTGAAAAAAATGTTGATAAAATTCTTGAAATGAATTCAATTATTTTCAAATTTTTTTATAAATACTTTACAAGAATTCACTGATTTTCAGTACATCGACAATTTAATTATTTCAGAAATTAATTGAATTCTTGGATAGAATTTTATTAAATCTTTTTTAAATAATTGAATCCCTGCGAATAAATTTATTATTTCTACAAATAATTGGATTTTTGCAAAATTTTAAAAAATAAATGAATTTTTAAGAATTTTATTAAAATTATATTTAAAATAATTGAATTCCTATGAATTCAATTTTTTTTACAAATGTTTTATAAATTTCTTCGCAATTATTCAATTATTTTCATAAATATTAAAATTTTTACAGGGATTCAATTATTTTCGTAAATAATAAAATTCTTTTTAGAAATTGAATTATTTTCAGAAATTATAAAACTCATCGTAGGAATCCAATTATTTTTAATGCAATTTTAATAAAACTTCTCAAAAAATTTAATCATTCTTAAAAATTTTATTGAAATTCGTCGAAAGAATTCAATTATTCAAAAATTTGTTAATAAAATTCTTTATGGGAATTGAATTTTAAGCACCATTAAATTATTTAATAAATTATTTCTTTTTGTATTTAAATAATTGAATTCTTGTAGAATTTTCTAATAAAAATTTATTTCAAAATATGAATTTCAGTTAAAATTTTAGATAATAGTCGAACATTAATATTATAGCATTAATTTTTTGGAAATAATTAAATTTTAAAAAGGTTCTAAATTAAAATTTTTGAAAATCTGAATTTTTCATACTTTTAATTAATAATTCTGTACAATTTATTTTTTTTTGAAAAAGTTTGAAAATTGAATTTCTCTTGAAATTATTTGAAGTTTTTTTATTTTCTAATATATATTTGATTGAATTGTAAAAAAATGTTTTTGAAAATTCTTAAAGAACTTTTGCAAAAATTATTAATAGTAATTGATTTAAAGAAGAATTCTAGTTTAAAATTCTAGAAAATAATAATTGAATTGAAATGATGAAAATAATTTTATAAAAGTTACAGTATAAATATTTTTATAACATAAAATAATGATTTTATCACTCGGTCACCTTTAATTATTATTAGTTGTTGAATTAATTAATTAAATTAATTTTTAATTAATTAATTAATTTATTAATTATTTTCATAAATGTTTGAATTTGAATTTTTTGAAGAATTTTAATTCCTATGAAAAAATAATAATTAAATAGGATTTATTCAAAAATGAAGTTATTGATATTTTCGAATAATTTTACAATTAAAGAAATTCGTAACTAAAAGTAATATAACTTTTTTTTTTGAGTATCCAATAATTTTTAGAGTGAATCAAAATATTCTTTAGTGATTATTATAATTTGGTTATTTGATTATTATTATTATTATTATTATTATTATGATTTGGTATAATAATAAATAAATAATTGGATTAAAAATTTTTATTCATTTTTTTTATCAATTTTCTGTTGCTGTTGCTATAACGCCAATTAACTATTGCTAACAAGTAACATTTTTTTTCTGTATAATTGTACACTATATAGGAAGAACAACAAGTAATAAAATAATATATTTTTTTTCTTCTTATTTTTTATGATATCGATTTGATCCATTTCAAAGTGAAACAATAACATCTTTCTCTCTCTCTCTCTTTTATCTCTTTCTCTTTTTATTCGTCTTTTGTCAAAAAACATTTTTGTATTAAAATAAGCATCGTTTGCGCTATATTTTCGATGCCTTCAATATGGAATGATTTGGCATCTTATAAAACTTTGTGAGCTTTTCCTTTTTGATAATATCAGTCAAAAGCGGCTGCCGTTGGCGCCACCTCGAGCAACATCTGGAGAAAAGCGTTTACTCCTTCTGCAAAGACAGGAATTAAAATTAATTAATTAATTAAATATATTAACAAGAATTACATTTTTTAATTAATTAAATAAATATATTGGGAAGAATTACTTTAATTAACAAATTAAAATTAATTAATTAAAAAAGAATTAATTTAATTAATAATTATTAACTGTAGATATTTTTTTGAGATTAATTCCATAAAAAGCGAAGTTTCAATGTAATAATTTTCGGGGATGATAATATTTACCCATAAATTTGGGAACGTATCCGTATTTAACGAAAGGGAGGTAGAAGAATATTCCTGCGCCAATAAAGCCAGCAGCGTACAGGTACTCGATTTGTGGCTTGTCAATAATTGGGGCAACAATCAGGTACGCTGAAATGCCAAGTACGAGAATGGGAATAATTAATGGGCATTTGTATGGTCGAGGATGATTTGGTCGCGTTTTTCGCATCACGAGCAATGCGAGCATTGCGCCACCGTAAAATATCCATGCCGTGAAAGAGAAAAAATCAATCAATGAATCGATATTGCCAGAAAGCACCATTGTACCTGAAACAGTGAATTAATTTTATTCATTACTACAAATATTTGCCGTAATTCCATTAATTTCCTTTAGTTGAAATATTTATTTTTTTTTGATTGAAAATAATTTGTCTTTCATTTCTCTAGAAAAGAAAATAAATTAAAAATCTTTCTTCTCTATTAGGAAACAATAGAGAAATAGAAGAAAAAAATAAATCAAAAATAGAAGGGCTCGAACTAGGTTCGTAAATCTCGTAAAGGTCCTTAAATTTGCTTTAAGTCCGTAAAAGTCAGTTTTTTTTTTGTAAAAAAAAAAAGTCAGTGATTTGATTGAGAAAAGACGAAAAGTTAGTAAATTGTCCAATATAATTTGGAGAATTTTAGAGAAATTGCAAATAATTGCAAAAATTCAATTATTTTCAAAAGAAGTAAAATTCTTCGCAGAAATTCAATTATGTTCAAAAATGTTTTAAAATTCTAGTCAAAATTTCAATTCTATATTTTTTTAAATAATAAAATTCTTCTCTGAAATTCAATTGTTTCCAAATATTTTAATAAAATTCTTGGCAAAGTTTTAATTATTTTCAAAAAATTTCCTCCATTCAATGATTTTTAATATCTACTATTTTAATGAAATTTTCCAAAAGAATTCAATTATTTAAAAAAATTTAATAAAGTAATAAAAATTTCACAGGAATTTAATTTTTACAAATTTTTTATAAATTTCTTCGTAATCGTTCAATTATTTTCATAAAAAATAATATTTTTACAGAGGGATTCAATATTATTTTCGTAAATAATAATAAAATTCTTTTTAGGAATTCAATTATTTTCGGAAATAATAAAACTCATTGCAGAATTTCAATTATTTTTAATACAATTTTCATCGAATTTCTCGAAAATTTTAATTATTCTTAAAAATTTTATTAAAATTCGTCAAAAGAATTTAATTATTTAAAAAATTGATAAAATTCTTTATGAGAATTCAATTTTAAGGAACATGCAATTATTTAATAAATTGTTTTTTTTGTAATTAAATAATTGAATTCTCGTAGAATTTAATTTATTATTCTTCGTAAGAATTCAATTATTTTTATAAATAGTACAATTTTTTGCAAGAATTCAATTATTTTCTGAAATTTTAATAAACCTTTCGAATCAATTCAATTATTTTTATAAGTAGTACAATTTTTTGCAAAAATTCAATTATTTTCTGAAATTTTAATAAATCCTTCGCAAACAATTCAATTATTTTTTTAAATAGTAAAATCTTTGCAAAATTTCTATTTTATTTTCAAAAAAATTTCACGAAAGAATTCAATTTTTTTTCTGAATTTGTTATAAAATCTTTGCAAAAATTCATTTATTTTCAAAAAAATTTCACGAAAAAATTCAATTTTTTCCTTCTTTGTTACAAAATTTTTAATTTAAATTTTACCAAAATTCTTTGCGAGAATTCAATTATTTTTCTAAATTATAAAATTCTTCGAAGGAATTCTATTATTATCAAATTTTTTGATAAAATTCTTTGCAACAATTTGATGATTTTCAATACATTAATTTTTAAATTGAAAATATTCGAAAAGAAAAATTATTTTGGTAAACTTACAAATTTCTGCAGAATTTCAATTATTTTCAAATATTTTCAAATTTTTTCAATTATTTTTTATTCTTCGCAAAAATTAAGAATTGTTCGAAAATTAATAAAATTCTTCTTAGGGATTCAATTATTTTTATAAATAATAAAACTCATCCCAGAATGTCAATTATTTTTAATACAATTTTAATCAAATTTCTCGAAAAAAGTAATTATTTAAAAAAATTTTATTAAAATTCCTCGAAAAAATCCAATCATTTAAAAATTTGTTGATAAATTTCTGTATGGGAATTGAATTTTATGAAGCATTCAATTATTCAATAAATTATTTATTTTTGTATTCAAATAATTAAATTCTAATAAAAATTGATTTTCATTTCATAAAAATGAATTTCAGTTAAAATTTTAGATACCTAATTATTGAATATTAAAAGAAATATAGCATGAATTTTTAGAAATAATTGAATTTTGAAATTAATTTTTTTTGAAAAAGTTTAATTAATTTTTTTTATATTGTTCGAAGTTTTCATTCTCTAATATATATTTAATTGAAGAATTTACGAATAATTGAAATTTTGTAAACAAATGAAGTTGAAAATTCTCAAAGAAAACTTGGACTGGTTATATTTTTGTCAGTAATTGGTCTGTAGTTTTTCATTTTTAGTCCATAAAATCTGTATGTTTAAATACTTTCACTGGTTCGAGCCCTGAAATAGAGAAATAGAAGAAGAAAATAAAATTAAAAATAGAGAAATAGAAGAGAAAAATAAATTAAGAATAGAGAAATAGAAGAGAAAAATAAATTAAAAATAGAGAAATAGAAGAGTAAAATAAATTAAAAATAGGGAAATAAAAAAGAAAAAGAAATTAAAAATAGAGAAATAGAAGAGAAAAAGAAATTAAAGATACAAAAATAGAAGAAAAAAATTAGTTAAAAAAGAGAAGTAGAAAAAAAAATTTGTTAAAAGAAGAGAAATAGAAAAAAAATAAAAAAATAGAGAAATAGAAAAAAATAGAAAAAATAGAGAAATAGAAAAAAATGAAAAATAGAGAAATAGAAAAAAATAAAAAATGGAGAAATAGTAAAAAAATAATTTGTTTTTTTTTATTAATTGAAAATTAGTGAAATAAAATGTTTTTGATTTAAGGTTGTACCTGCGACAATGGAATGGAAAATGAGACCCGGAGCAGGTGTAAAACGTCGCACGTGAACGTAACTGAGACAATCGAGTAAATGCCCTTTTCGTGATGCTGCAAAACAGAGTCGTCCGGCAGCAAATAATGTTCCATTTGCCGATCCAAACGTGCTCACTGCTACCGAGAGTGGCATTAGCCACGCCATAACACCGAGAATTCGATTTCCAAATGTCTGATGAGAAAGAAAAATTATTTTATCAGTCAATAGAACAAATGAGAGAGAGAGTGAGTGAGAAAGAGAAAAACTAATAATAAATTTCATCAATTGTAAGTGACAATTCATTTCTATTAATTTTATTCCCAGTAGATAATAATTTTCAATATTTAATAATTATTTCAAAAAATAAATTCGGAACAAAAAAAAATATATAGAGAAAGAAAATAAATAATTTTTTTTCTTTCTATTCACAAAAAAGGAATATTTAGGTAGAAAAAGTTCTCGAAATAAAAAATTCCCCTTTGATAAAAGAAATTGAATAAAATAATTACTTAGGTAATAAATTAACCTGGAAATAAATAAATTAATTAAATTAAGTCTATTATTAGATAGAAAAAAATTAATTTATTGATTTTAATTAACATTCACTTGAAAAATTAAAAAAAATAAAATAAAGTTAATATTTTCTTTACGTATTTCAAGAAATTGTTGATAAAAATGAAGAATTATAAAATACATATTCACAATTTTATTTTGACCACTTCTCTGATTTTCTCTTCGTTTTATTCAACGAATTATGCGGAAAAATTTTTTTAAAACAAAAATAGCGAAGAACGATAAGAAAAATGCATACGAGAATTAAAAGTTTCCATAATTGCGAATTTTTTCGCGGAAAAATATAAAAATTTATTTCTTATCGATTTTCACGTGAGGTGAAAGAAAAAGAAAAAAAAATAATAATAATTGCCACTGCTGTAATTTACACAAATTGGTGAGAATGGAGCAGAGACGGTAAATTACATTATCTTTGACCCTGAAAACATTATCTGAAATCTTCAAAGTTATTTATAGATTCTTTCCCCTAAAAAAGGAAATTTCTATTCAAATTATTGAGATCAGATCCGCAAACACTCTGATCTGATCTAATTTATGATTCATAAAATAAATTCTCGATAGTATTTTCTTTTTATAGTATATATCCACATTCAATTCATGAATTTTTATCAACTTTTTCCGCATATGAAAATTCAAGTAGAAGAAAAGAAAAGAATTGCAATAAAATTGAGAAAAGTTTTCATTGTTTGATGGGAATTTTAATTTAAAAACTTTTGATTTATTCGCTGAAATGAATTTTCTTCTCGTCTATAGGTGTAATTATAGAAATACTTTGGAATTAGGATTTTAAATGAGAATTTGTTGAAATAGAAATTCTTTTTAATTAAAATAAGATAAAATTAAAAAAATTTAATAAACATTAAATTTTATACTACATAATAATCGTTGTATTCCGGATTCCTGTCTATCCGCAGTTGGAAGTTGAATTCTTAAAAACAAATTTTATAAAATATTTCAAAGTAATTAATTTCTTTTGAGGATTTTAATTGTAATTGTATTTAAAATAATTTAATTCTTATAACCAAATTTTATCAGACATTTAAAAATAACTGAATTATTTCGAAGAATTTTATTAAAATTTTTGAAAAAATTTCAATTGTCGAGGAATTTAATTAAAGTTGCTTTGAAAAATAATAAAATTTTTATAAAGAATTTTATCAAAATTTTTGTATAAATAATTATATTCTTACTAAAAATTTTAATAAAAAATTTTGAAAATAATGAATTCTTTTGAGAAATTAATTTGAAATTATATTTAAAATAATTTAATTCTAATAAATAAATTTTATAAAATATTTGAAAATAATTGAAAAGTTTCTAAGAATTCTATTTAAATTTTTGAAAATAATTTAATTCTTTCGAGTAATTTAATTGAAATTGTATTAAAAATAATTGAATTCTTAAAAACAAATTTTTTAAAAAATTCGAAAATAATTTAATTCTTATAAATAATTTTTATCAAATATTTGAAAATAATTTAATTCTTTCGAGGAATTAAAATTTCATTAAAAATAATTGAATTGTGATTTGACAAAATTTTTATTGAAAATAGTTCATTTCTTTCGAAGAATTTTATTATTTTTGAAAATAATTCAATTCTTTCGAAGAATTTTATTGAAATAAATAATAAATAATATAACAAATAATTTTATTCATATTTAAAAATGTTTGTTTAAACAATTTGAAAAGAATTCAATTCTTTTGATGATTCAATTTGAAATTATATTGAAAATAATTTAATTCTTATAAATAAATTTTATCCAATATTTGAAAATAATTGAATTGTTTTGAAGATTTTTATTTTAATTTTTGGAAAGAATTCAATTCTTTCAAGGAATTTTATTATTTTTGAAAATAATTCAATTCTTTCGAAGAATTTAATTGAAATTATGATTTAAAATTTTGAAATATTTCAATTTTAAATGAATTTAATTAGAAATATAAAAAACTTAGACTTAACAAAAATTTTAAAAACTAAAATTCTTCTGAAATTATAGTTAAATTTTTTAATATATATTTAACTAGTTTTATTAAAAATAATAAATTTATAGAAGAATTTTAGTTAAAAACACTAAAACAAATTGAATTTTGAAGCAATTACAAATGATTGCAGAAATTCAATTATTTTCAAAAATTTTCATAAAATTCTTGTCAAAATTTTAATTATTTTCAAAAACTTTCCTCAATTCAATGATTTTTAATATCTACTACTTTAATAAAAATTCCTAAAAGAATTCAATTAGTTAAAAAAAATTTTAATAAAATTCTACGCAAACATTTAATTATTTTCATAAATAATAAAAATTTCACAGGAATTCAATTATTTACAAATTATTTTTATATATTATTCAATTATTTTCATGAATAATAACATTTTTTACAGGGATTCAATTATTTTCAAATAATAAAACTCAATGCTGAATATCAATTATTCCTAATACAATTTTAATGGAATTCCTCGAAAAAAATTATTATTCTTAAAACTTTTATTAAAATTTATCAAAGAAATTTAATTACTTTAATAACATTTGCCACAATTTATTTATTAGAATTTAACTATTATTTTCAATAAATGTTTAATTAAATTTCTTTAAAGAATAAAATTATTTTCAAACATTTTAATGCAATTCTTTGCGTAACAATTCAATTTTTTTAAAAATAATTTTCATAAAATCCTTTACTGAAATCCAATTATGTTTAAAAATTTACAAAAATTTTCGTAAAAATTTCAATTATCTTTATAAATAATAAAATTTTCCTCCGAAATTCAATTATTTTCAAAACTTTAAATTAATTCTTGGCAGAATTTCAATTAATTTTAATACAATTTTCATCAAATTTTTCGAAAAATCCTATTATTCTTAAATTTTTTTTTAAAATTTGTCAAGAGAATTCAATTATTTAAAAATTTGTTGATTAATAATAATTTAAATTTGTTCTTAATAATTGAATTCTTTCGTGAAATTTAATTAAAATTGTATTGAAAAATAATTGAATTCCTGCGAAGAATTTGATTATTTATGAAAATCATTGAATTCTTTTGAAGAATTTAATTGAAATTTTATTGAAAATAATTGAATTGTTAACAAGAATTTTAGTAACATTATTTTAATTTTGAAAGTGAAATTTAATTAAATGAAAAAATAATTGAATTCTTTCGTGAAATTTCATTGAAATTGAATTGAAAATAATTGAATTTCTGCGAAGAATTGGATTTATTTATGAAAATAATTGAATTCATGCGCAAAATTTTATTAAAATATTTTTAAATATTTCAATTTTTGTCAAGAATTTTATAATAATAATTATTTATTTATTTTTTGAACAGTCTGAAAGCTTTTAAATTTAGAAAAGGAAATTAAAAATCAAATTCAATTGAAACTCCATAAGAAAAAATGTTTGAAAATTAAATTCTATCGAGAAACTTTAAATTTGTTTTTACTTTTTAATAATTGAATTCTTTCGTAAAATTTAATTAAAAATTGTATTGAAAAAATAATTGAATTCCTGCGAAGAATTTGGTTATTATTTTTGAAAATAATTGAATTCCTCCGAAGAATTTGGTTACTATTTATGAAAATAATTGAATTCATGCGCAAAATTTTATTAAAATTTTTTAAAAATATTTAAATTTTTGCAAATAATTTTAAAAGAATTATTTATTTATTGAACAGTCTGAAAGCTTTTAAATTTAGAAAAAAAATCAAATTCAATTGAAATTCCATTAGAAAAAATGTTTGAAAATTAAATTCTTTCGAGAAACTATAAATTTGTTTTTAATAATTGAATTCTTTCGTAAAATTTAAATAAAATTGTATTAAAAAATAATTAAATTTCTGCGAAGAATTTGATTATTATTTATGAAAATAATTGAATTTTATTGAATTAAAAAAAAATAAATAAATAAAACGAAGAAAATTGTTTTTGAAAAAATAATTGAAGAAAAAAATTACCACAGCCACTGCTTCGCTGTCGACCATTTCAGAGGGCGACATAACAGCCAAATAAGAGATGTTAATAAGAGCATAGCACAATGTCACCAGTGGAATTCCAATCATTATCGATCTAGGTAAATTCTTTGATGGATTCTTAATCTCCTCCGTGACATAATTCAAATTATTCCATCCGTCGTACGCCCACAATCCAGTATAAAAAGCAGTCGCCAATTTACCAATATTAATTCCATTGCCACTGGCCCCACCTAAATCCTCCCTCACCTCAAAGGGATCACGTAAATGCTGCGTATTGCCCTGTATCAATTTATAAGAACCGCCAACGATAACAACTAAAATTGCAATTAATTTCGCCGCTGTGAATGCATTTTGCACGCCAGTCGCCAAATTAACACTGTAACAATTCACCAATAAAATGAGAACAATTGCCAATAATGCAACGAGTTTCACCACCTCCTGCGGTGGATCGCATTCGGCGACAAACGCCTCGACCGCATATTGAGCGAACGACAGGCAAATAATTGCCATTTGCGATGGTTTCAAGACGAGTGTTGAGACCCATGAGAAGAGAAAAGCGGGCGGCGCACCGAATGCATCCATGAAATATGCATATTCAGCGCCGCTACTTGTATTCATTGTGCCCAATTCTGCATAGGCGAGTGCACCGCAGAGACTGAGAATTCCACAGGCTGTCCACACCAGGAAACTGACTCCAATACTTCCGGTTCGTTGGAGGAGACCCGATGGCGAAACAAATATTCCCGATCCGATCATTGTGCCAACAATTAGAGCCACCCCACTGACGAGTCCCACCCGTCTCTTGAGGTGAACAGGGTGGTTCTCCTCTGGGTCCGTCCCCTCCAGCCCTCCGCACCCTCCACTCCCGTCTTCGTCATCCCCCATACCTCCAGCGATGCCCTTTTTTTTATGCAACGGCGCCCCACCTTCCCAGCCATTATTCCCCAATGATTCTCCTGGTCCTCGTGAATTCCAGTTTCCATTTCCGGATTGTTGTTGTTGTTGTTGTTGTTGCTGCTGCTGTTGCTGTTGCTGCTGCTGTTGACGATCTTGTTGTTGTTGTTGCTGCTGCTGTGGCTGTTGAATTTGTTGCTGCGAGTGAGACTGGCCAGTTCCGTTGATCGGTTGTTGACCATATCCCGAATTTGCTGGAAATTAAATTGTAAATTAGTATTGCAATATTAAAAATTAGTTTTGCAATTAAAATTAGTTTTACAAATAATAAGTTATTGAACAAATTTTATTAATAATTTTATAAAACAGTTTATAAATTTATATAATAATTTAATTGTTTCAACTAATTGCATCGAAAGAATTTCTATTTTTGAAAATAATTAAATTCCTTCGAATAATTTAATTAAAAATTGTATTAAAAATAATTCAATTCTTTTAAATAAATTTTATAAAATACTAGCCAAATTATCCGCGTGCAAGCGTGCGGGAATTTTGTTTTGCACTGTTTATTGTAAACAATTTCAAGTAATTTTAATTTAAGTAATAATTAAATAATTAATTTTCACTAATTATAAAATTTTTCATGATAATTCAATTTTTAAAAAAATTTTTGATTAAATTCTAAACATGAATCTAATTATTTTCATAAATAAAAAAACTTATCGAATGATTTCAATTATTTTTAATACTATTTTAAATTAATAATCGAAAAATTCAGTTATTTTCACAAATAAAGTTTTCCACTAGAATTCAATTATTTAAACTAATAAAATTTTCATAATATTTATTATATTTCGAAAAAATTAATTATTTAAAACAATGTTCATAAAATTCTTATGAAGAATTTAATTACTTTAAAAAAAATAAATTTTTTTTACAGAAATTCAATTCTTTTTAAACATTTTAATAAACTTTTCCGCAATAATTCAATTATTTTCAAAAATAATAAAATTCTTCTATGAAATTCAATTATTTTTGAGAATTATAATAAAATTCTCAGCAACTATTCAATTATTTTCATAAATAATAAAATTCATAGCAGGATTTCAATTATTTTTCATACAATTTTACAGTAATTATTTTTAAAAACTTAATTTCAATTCCACGAAAAAATCAATTATTTAAAAAAATTTTTTTTTAATATTTTTTGGAAGGATTGAATAATTATTTTCAAAAATTTAATAAAATTGTTCGAAAGAAATTAATTGTTTTAAATACAATTTTAATTAAATAATTTAATTATTTTTAAAAATTTTAACAATATTTTTTCTAAGAATTCAATTATGTCGATAAATAAGAACATTACTCCCGAAAATTCAATTATTTTGAGGTATTTTAATAAAATTCTTTTCAGAATTCAATTATTTTCATAAATAAGAATATTCATCACAATAATTCAATTATTTTTAAAAATAATAATTTTCTTCTTGGAATTACATTATTTTAAAAAAATTCTAATAAATCGTTCACAAGAATTCAATTATTTTCAAAAAAGTTTAATAAAATTTCCAAACATTCAATTAATGACAAATTTTTTAATAGAATTCTTTGTAAAATTTAATTATCATTAAAAACTTTTCGCAATTCAATGATTTTTAATATCTACTATTATCATAAAATTTCCAAACGGAATTCAATTATTTAAAAAATGGTTTGTAAAAATTTTCGTAAGAATTCAATTCAATTTTTATAAATATTAAAATTCTTTGATGAATATTAAAATTCGTTGCAGGAATTCAATTTATTGAAAGGATGAGAAAAAAGTAAATATTTTTGATGAAAATTAGGAAAAAGTCAGGAAAATAAAAAATATGGAATGGAATTTTTTTCAATTTTGTGAAGTGAATAAAACGAGTTTTTTTTACATTGAAAAAAAATGCCAATAACCCACAAAAATTAATTTTTAAAACAAACAAATGAATGCAGATAATTAAATAATTGTTTTCATTCAAATTTATATGGAACTTAATTGAATTGCAAAGAATTTTTTGTAAAAATTCTAGAAATAATTCAATTCCTTTGAGAAATTTTATTATTTTTGAAAATCATTAAATTCTTTCGAGGAATTTAATAGAAATTGTATTTGAAAATAATTCAATTTTTGTAATTAAAATTTTTAAAAATTTTTGAAAATAATTAAATAATTGTTTTTAGAGTTTTTATTGAAATTTATCTGAAAATTAATTGAATTGCAAAGAATTTTATTAAAAATTTTAGAAATAATTCGAGAAATTTTATTATTTTTAAAAATCATTAAATTCTTTCGAGGAATTTAATGGAAATTGTATTAAAAATAATTCAATTCTTGTAAGTAAATTTTATAAAATATTTGAAAATAATTTAATTGTTTTTCGAGTTTTTATTCAAATTTATATGGAAATTAATTGAATTGCAAAAAATTTTATTAAAAATTCTAAAAATAATTTAATTCTTTCGAGAAATTTTATTATTTTGAATAGGTATAATTAAATTCTTTAAAGGAATTTTATTATTTTTGAAAATAATTAAATTCTTTCGAAGAATTTTATTATTTTTGAAAATTCTTTATTTATTCTTTATTTATAACATTCTTTATTTATTTATTTATTTAATAGAAATTGTATTGAAAATAATTTAATTCTTGTAAATCAAGTTTATAAAATATTTGAAAATAATTGAATAATTGTTTTCAGAGTTTTTATTCAAATTTATATGAAAACAGTTGAATTGAAGAGAATTTTTTTAAAAATTTTAAATATAATTAAATTCTTTTTAGGAATTGAATGGAACTTGTATTGAAAATAATTCAATTCTTTTAAATGAATTCTATAAAATATTTGAAAATAATTGAATAATTGTTTTTAGAGTTTTTATTCAAATTTATATGAAAATTCATTGAATTGCAAAGAATTTTATTAAAAATTTTGGAAATAATTCAATTCTTTCGAGAAATTTTATTATTTTTGAAAATAATTACATTTTTTCGAGGATTTTAATAGAAATTTTATAGAAAATAATTCAATTCTTGTAATTAAATTTTGTAAAATATTTGAAAATAGTTGAATAATTGTTTTTTTTGAGTTTTTATTCAAATTTATATAAAAATAATTCAATTTGCAAAGAAATTTATTACAATTTTTAAAAATAATTAAATTCTATCAAAGAATATTCATTAAAATTTTCGAAAATTGAATTTTTTCGAGTAATATAATTGAAATTGTATTGAAAATAATTAAATTCTATCGAGGAATTTAATAATTGAAATTCTACTGAAAATAATTGAATTCTTATAAACAAATATCTCAAACATTTTAAAATAATTGAATTTATTTGAAAATTATTTTAGATATATTATTGTATTGAAAAAAAATTCAATTCTTACAAGGAATTTAAGTAAAGTTGTTTGGAAAATAATTGAATTTTTATATAGAATTTTATCAAGATTTTGTCAATAATTGAATTCTTGTGAAAAATTTTATTACAAAATTTTGAAAATAATTGAATTCTTTGGAAGAATTTTTATTAAAATTTTGTAAATAATTGAATTTTTTTTTAAATTTATTAAAATTTTTGAAAATAATTAGATTTTTTCGAGGAATTTAATTGAAATTGTATTGAAAATAATTAAATTCTTGTAAATAAATTTTATAAAATCTTTGAAAATAATTGAATTCTTTTGAAAAATGTTATTAAAATTGTATTGGAAATCATTTAATTCTTATGAAGAATTCAATTGAAGTTGTTTAGAAATTAATTGAATTCTTATAGAGAATTTTACAAAAAATTTTGTAAAAATAATTTCATAATTTTATTCAAATTGTGTTGTTGATAATTATTGAATTTCCATAAAAACTGTTATTAAAAATTTTGTAAATAATTGAATTCTTTGGAAGAATTTTATTAAAATTTTGTAAAAACTTGAATTTTTTAAAAAATTTTATTAAAAAATTTTTGAAAATAATTAAATTTTTAAGAGCAGTTTAATTAAAATTGTTTAGAAAATAATTGAAATAAAAGAATTTTATCAAAATTTTGTTGATAATTAAATTCATTTTAAAAAATCTTATTCAAATTGTGTTAAAAGTAATTGAATTCTTACAGGGAATTTAATTGAAATTGTATTGAAAATAATTGAATTCTTACAAGGAATTTAATAAAAATTGTATTAAAAATAATTGAATTCTGATTTAACAAAATTTTTTTCGAAATAATTCAATTCTTTCGAGAAATTTTATTACAACATTTTGTAAATAATTGAATTCTTGCAAGAATTTTATTACAAAATTCTGGAAATAATTAAATTCCATTGAAAAATTTTATTCAAATTGTGATGAAAATAATTGAATTTCCACGAAGACGACGTTTATCAAAACTTTGTAAATGAATTTTCGCGAAGAATTTTATTTCAAAGTTTTTGAAAATAATTGAATTCTTTTGAAAATTTTTACTAAAATTATGTTGTGAAAATAATTCAATTAAACTTGTTTGGAAAATAATTGAATTCTTATAGAGAATGTTATCAAAATTTTTGTAAATAATTGAATTGTTGAAGGAATTTTATTACAACATTTTGTAAATAATTGAATTTTTGCAAAGAATTTTATTTCAAAGTTTTGAAAATAATTGAATTTTTTTGAAAATTTTTACTAAAATTATGTTGAAATTTTAATTAACTTCATATGTAGGTAAAATTATTCAAAAACCAAAGTTTATATTTACAAATACAAAATTTTGTAATTTGCATAATAATAAATTGCATACAGCGATTCGTGTGCTGGCGCGTGTAAACATTTGCTGGTATAATTAATGGTTTCTTAGACCCTTGACCACTGATGAATAATAAAAAATAAATAGAAAAAGAATTTTCAAAAATATAATTTTTAATTTTAGAGAAAAAAAAAAATTTTTGTTTGTAAAAATTATATTTTTTTACTCTACACTTTTAAACAGTTAATTGAGACTTTTTAATCAATGCCCTTTACACCTGCTTCAGTTCCCGGCTTTAAATTTTCATATATTGTCCAACAATTTTCCTACGTAATTGTCTATAGTCTTTATAGTCGAATATTTTTGAATTATGATTACCTTCATTATAATACGTAAATTGTCTCTTTTAAATTCCTTATGATGTTTTGCAGGTAAACATCAAGAGATCAATAAAAAAACAGAGTTTCTAAAGTTCTTAAAATTACTCCAAACTACGTTTTCTTATTTA